ACTTCTCAGGAGTGGTGACGATTCCCTTTTTAGCTACATTGAGCTGACATTTCTCGTTCCCTCCACCGCGCAGTGAAAGATGTTCCACTGATCCTCTATAGATCGCCCCAATGGTGATCTCTTGCTGGCCTTTTCCTTTTTTCTCCATAGAATCGAGCAGTTCTTGTTCTGCCCATGATGGGAAGTTCTTGTCAGCATTGGCAATCTGTCGGCCTATGTAGAATGCTCCAAAGGTGGGCATGTGACATCTCTGTGGATTTTTGTGATAAGCCCAGTTTGCTGGTCGAATCTTGCCCTCCATAAGGATCAACTGTGCGGTACTGAGGGTCGTACCATGTCCAAGTGCCCATGTGACGAGGGTTTGGCCGCCAAAGGGTGGGGGCATTTGGAACCGGCTCATTTCTGGCAGCGGCATGACCAAGGCCAGCATGCCTGTTTGTGGAAGTTCTCGAACATAGCATGTGGACATATCAAATCTGTCAGGATGCCTGTACTCGACAATAAATGTATGGCCTTTCTGCCAATGTCTGTGGGGATTCTCGGGTCCACGTTAGTCAATTCTTCCATCGCTTCATCAAAATGCTCTTGGACAATACTCGTGGATGGTTGTGGAAGCTCCTTTGCATCAAGTTCATTTGCCGCTCTCATCCGATCAGGATGGGTGAGAGCATGTTTGACTTGGCGAGCCCATTCCTCTTTGGAACCTTCTTGAAGGTTGATGGCAATATGGCCAGGTGGAAGAGTGGAAGCTCGGGACTGAGCGGAACCAGAGCGATTGGGATGATTGCCCTGGTTGTGGGAATGCTGTTCCAGCGAGTATGCCGTCAAAGGCTTTGAAGGATACTTGGAAGGCGGTTCATCATAAGATTGATGTTTGTAGTGTGGCTTTGAATAGTCGACCCATCCGGAGGGATGCGTGTAATATTGAGACTTGGACTGGTCTTTCCAAGACTGCCAGGACTTCCACTTTTTTGTGGAGCTGTGGTCAGGGTAGGTGGAGTAGTCATGGTAGTCCGACTTGTCGGGAATTAAAGGTTGTTCGTAGTGATGGTCATGCCAAGATGGAGGTTGATGTGTAGTGGATGAATAAGTATAATCATCACGACGACGATGTTCATCACGTTGATGTAGGACTTCACGATGACGTGGGGAGTTGGAACGAAGAGTGACTGACTGGGGACGGCATGGAGACATGGAGTCATCCCGTGAGCGGGAACGTCGACGATGGTGGCGGGAACGGCTATCCCGTCTGTGACGTTTTGGACTTCTCGGGATCGAAATTGGACGTTTGTCCACTGGAGCCGGAATGTGTTTTGACCGTGACCTGGAACGGCGATGAAGCCGTGGAAGTGGTGGCAACGGGACAACGGGTGGAGACTCTGCGACTGGAGTCGCTGGTGGAAGTTGTACCACACTTGGATGAGGACTCTTAGACCTTTCTTTGGTCATTTCCATAAACGCCTGCATGCCGGATTCCACTGTGTGGCGCATCTGTTGCATCATCTCTTCTGGATTGAAAGTGGTGTGTGGCTCTTGTTGAGCTGGTTGAGATGAAGTTGGAACAGGAGGAGTCTGGACTGGTGGCACCGTTGGTGGCTCAGGTACTGATGGAGGAGTCTGATGAGATGCGGTTGGTTGAGAAGTCTGATGGAATGGGAGAAGCTGCTGGAGTTGCTGAATATGGGTCTGAGCTTGGGAATTCAATTGCTGATGCAGTAGTGCATTCTGGTCCCTTAACTGAGCCAACTGAGCTTGAGTCTGAGCTTGTGACTGAGCGTGAGACTGTTGGTTCATCAGATCACCTCCACAAAATTGACCAAATTGTGCAGCAGGTTGAGGTGAAGTAAAGGTAGGCGCTGACCAGCCACAGTTCCACATGTTCTCCGAAAAGTTTGGCCACCGACCAGGAAACATGGCCAAAAGATTTAACAGGTCTGGCAGCACCGTCAGACGATCACTATGAAGTTAAAACATTAACATTGGATGCATCCACAACGCATGCAGTATTCGTGATAAGGCTCAAAGGCCCTCGGCTTTCAATTCACAACCCTCTGGACGGCTTACGTGTTCAACCCCTGAATTACGTGCACAATTGAACCTCACCAACGACCATCAAAAGAAAGAAAAACCACACCTAAAGCATGTCCTGACGCCTCCACATGGTGTCGTGTCATGTGTCAACAGTCGAGTTCTGTACTCTCTTGAGCAACGTTGAAAAAACGGATGTTGACGTGGCTACCAGCTATGCAGATCGGTAAAAGGGAGATCCCCGAGACAGCGGGAAGCTGTTCAACACAAATCGACATCGACCGGTGAGACCTGAAAAAAGGCTGGCTGCTCACTTTACTTAAACGAATTACTAATTCAAAAGTGTAAATTCAGACATCGTTTTACTGTCAATTGTTAGCCTGGAAAGGCTTTCCCCGAAGGGTTCCTGCCAACTTGACGTGTACAGCAGGAATGACACACTTGCTCAGAAAATATCTTATCGAATTACTGTTGTGGAGTGCATCGGGCGTGCACAAACAATCCCCTAAAGTCTGACAGGAAAATTGGATGACATGGCGAGAAAACCAGTGTAGAAGAATTCTTTCTTTGTCCTTGTAACAAGCAATTGTTCCATCTGACGAAGTCAGCAGTAAATCAGATTGCGAAAACCGTACAGTGGTTTGAAACCTGTTAGAAACGAAGTTCTGAGGAAGGTCCCGATGCAGCTGAAAAACGGCTTGGTGGTTCTTGGGTTAGCCACGTCCCATTGCAGAAATGAAATGAAAATAGCAGGTACGTCGATGAGCGTCCCCATCGATATCACAGATGACACACTGGCGTCTTCGTTGGTGCCAGTCCAGTGTGCATCCCTGGCACCCCCTGCAAGTATGATTCAAAAGCTAAAAACCACGAAAATCAACCATCATCGAGCCAAAGGAAGTTTTACATCTTTTCAGATGTTCCCCACACACACACACCCACACACACACACACAAACTGTGCACTGTGCTGTAGATGGCGCAATTCACTTTGGGCAAAAATGCACACAGCAAGCTGTGAAGAACACAGTTCATCAGGAAAAACTAACCGAAATTGGGCAATTTCTCCTTTCTCCTTTCTCCTTTCCCTCCTCCTTTCACTGTCCCATTTCCCTTTCTCCTTTCCCGTTCTCCTATCCCTTTCCCTTTTCGCTTTTCCCCATTTCCCCTTTCTCCTTTCTCCTTTCCCTTTCTCATTCCCTTCCCCGTTTCCCCTTCTCCTTTCCCTTTTCCGTTTCCTTTTCTCCTTTCCCCTTTTCCCTTGCTCCTTTCTCCTTTCCCTTTCTCATTCCCTTCCCCCTTTCCCCTTCTCCTTTCCCTTTTCCCTTTCCTTTTCTTCTTTCCCCTTTTCCCTTCCTCCTTTCTCCTTTCCCCTTCTCCTGTCCCTTTCTCCTTTCCCCTTTCCTTGTTCTCCTTTCTCCTTTCCCTCCTCCTTTCCCTTTCCCTTTACAAATGGAACGCAGCGGTAACTTATAGATGGCGCAATCCACAGTTATGCTTTCCCAAAGAAAAATCCTGTTCCCTGTCCTTTTCTCCTTTCTCCTTTCCCTTCTCCTTTCCCTTTCCCCTTTCACTTTCTCCTTTCTCCTTTCCTTTTTCTCCTTTCTCCTTGCCCTCCTCCTTTCTCCTTTGCCTTTCTCCTTTCCCTTTGTTCTTTCCCTTTCTCCTTTCCCTCTCCCTTTGCCTTTTCCTTTCTTATTTCCCTGTCCCTTCTCCTTTCTTTTTTCTCCAGCCCCTTCTCCTTTCCCTGTCCCTTTCTCCTTTCTCCTTTCTCCATTCCATTTCTCCTTTCCCTTTCCCCTTTTCCCTTTTCCCTTTTCCCTTTTCCCTTTCTCCTGTCCCCTTCTCCTTTCCCTTTCCCCTTTCTCCTTTCCCCTTTCCCTTTCTCCTTTCTCCTTTCTCCTTTATCCTTTCCCTTTCCCTTTCCTTTTTTCCTTTCTCCTTTCTCCTTTCCCTTTCTCCCTCTCCTTTCTCCTTTCTCCTTTCCCTCCTCCTTTGGGAACCTATAGATGGCGCAATCCACAATTATTGTTTTCCAAAAAAATGGACCCCAGATCTTAAATACTAAGTTTAAACTAACCTAGAGGAAAACAGGTTGTTTTCAAGGACGTGTGTCGGGAACCTATAGATGGCGCAAAACACCCCATCCCTCAAGTGGTCTATAGATGGCGCATTGCAAAAATCTGCGCCATCCATTTTCAGAATGGAGTAGTTTTTTTTTCAGAGTGTTGTTTAGGGTTTCTTTGGGATGTCATTTAGGGTGTCATTTAAAGTTTCTTTAGGGTTTGATTTACGGTTTCTTTAGGATTAATTTATGATTTCTTCAGGGTTCATTTATGGTTTCTTTAGGGTTCATTTAGGTTTTCATGTCGTGATTTTTTCAGGATTTCTTTAGGGTTTCTTTGGGTTTCACCTACGGTCTCTCTAGAGTTTCATTTAGGATACAAACAGAACAGAATAAAGCAAAAGAAAATGAAAAACAAAGAGACAGTAAAGACAGGAAGCAAAGAAGCAAAGGAGCAGGAAGTAGAGCAGCAAAAACACATGACTGAAGAAAAGAAAAAGTAGAATAGTAGAAGTAGAAAGGCACAGAAGTACGAAAGCAGAGAAGCAGGGAAAACAGAGAAGCAGAAAAGCAAAGAAGCAGGAAAAGCAAAAAGCAGAAAAGCAGAGAAGCAGGAAAAGCAGAAGCAGGGAAAGCAAAAAGCAGAGAAGCAAGAAAGCAGAGAAGCAGGAAAGCAGAGAAGCAGAAAAGCAGAGAAGCAGAAAAGCAGAAAATCAGAGAAACAGGAAAGCATAAAACCAGGAACCCCAAAAAAAAACCTGCCGCGAAAAAAAAATAAAATAAAATAAATAGCCCTCCAAAAAATATGTGACGTCGATGAATTTCCCAGCAGAATGATGCGAAAATGCCAACCTTGTTTCATCTTTTTTCCCACATTCAAACTGTCTGTCAGGTGGCCTTGCCGCCTTGCCTTGCCGGGCCTTGCCGGGCCTTGCCGGGCCTTGCCGCCTTTCCCGCTTTTGCAAGTTAGAATCACGCGGCTTGGTTCGCTATGGACTCACAATGGCTGCAATGTTGAAGGTAAAATGCCTCGTCTGCGGCGTAGATCCTGAACGCTGCAGCTTTTGAGAAGTTCGGTTTCTGTTCCAAATCCTTCTGTCTTCGTTATCTCAGTCGAAGGATTGCGCGAAAAGACTTGGCTGGACGTGATATGTATGACATTACCCCATAATCCCGTTATGTATGAAATGCCTGATTCTGGCATGTCTTTCTCAAAACAAAGTTGCAAATTGCTGGTCGAACAGCAAAGCCACATCTGTTGCCAAGTCTCTCCCGAATCCAGTCGATGTTTCTCTGCGACAACCATTGGAGCTGGACTTCAGGATCATCGCTACTCGATACAGATTCATGGGTCAAAATCTCCTCACATCACGAGATATCACGAGGGGGGATATATTTCTTGGTTCTTGGTGCGGATATCCCTCGATCCCTCAACCCTGAGCTCCCATTAATGTGGCATTTTGATGAGAAATCGGATGACAAAATATGAGGATTCACCAGTGGATTTGGGGCTACCTCAATTTTCACAAGAGCCGACCCATTAATTTTATTGTTTATTCAAATATATTCAAATCGGCATCTCAACGTGCAACTGGTATGCCTGGTATGAACAATTTACTAAAAATGATGGACCATTAGGGACGCTCCAACGCGCTCCAACTTCCAAGTTCCAATGCCGAAGCAACACTGCAGCGTTGGTGCTGCAAAAATGCCTCCTGTCTGCATTGCTGGTGCTTTAGCGGTTTGCAATGGTTTGCAACCAAATTTACCAGAGTTCGAGTGAGTTTCCTTTCAGTTGAAGTACGCTTTGGACAGTGGGAAGAGAAGAAGTGCAAATGTTGGAGGAGTCAGAACCGAACAGCGCACAAAAGGACCCGCCAAACGACCTCCCGAGCGACCCCCTGAACGATCCCGACTTCATGCGCTTTCAAACGTAGGACTCGTAGGACCAATTGAAATCGCCACGACTTTGACTCTTGACTCTGACTGTACTTGACAAGTGGAGTTTGACACACTGCACCCGACATTTGCGGTGCCACCACAAATTCCTCCTGGGCTTGAATTGAAGACTTCGACGCCAAACAAATGGGGTACTGGTGCGGCTGATCCCTCCCAAGATGATCCAAGTGTCCGTGTCCAGATTGAGATTCAGTTCGTTGGAGACTCTGTCCATGTCTTCTTTCAGCGTGCAGGTGCACACGAAGCTCACACGGCTCAGCTCTTCGTTGGTGACTCCCTTCATGTAGAAGTCCACCACAGGCATGAAAATGCCTCAGCGGAATCATTTTGGTGCCACAAAAACATCCCATTTACGACATGTTTGGACTCCTCTCCCAGCGTTCGTTGAAGGAAACAATTGCAGGAAGCCTCTACAACTGATCTGTTGATCTGATTCTCTCAAACAAATATCACCACTGACCTAGGCGTGGAGGACGTTTCTATCTTGTGGGAGACTTCAGTGTCAATCTTTGAGTTTATAGGCAAGGTGGCGCACTTCTTTTTTCTGCGTATGTGCATGTATGTACAGTACTGTATTATATATATATGTATGTATATATAAATACATACATATAACTGGGCTTTTTTATTTTATGGCTTACACTTCCACGAAACTTTCCTTCCGCAGTGCTTCCACACCCTTCAACGCGTGCAGCCACACGCGCACACACTCACCCTGTTATGACTCGACGAATACTACGAAAGACTAACGATAAAAAAAAACGGCTCTCAACTGGCTACACGCAAGTAAACGATGCAACTGGAGCCGAGCTGCTGTTGCTGTAAGGCCGGTACTGCACGTCCAGGGCTATCCGGTGGTTCGGATCTGAAGTGTTCCGCAGCGCATCCACATAGCTGTGGTTGAAATCATCAAAGGAAAACACCTCACATAGTTTGGATATGTGCTGGATATGTTTTGAACATGGACACTTGATCAGAGCAGAGTTGCCTAGACACATATGCCGATCATATGCCGAATATTTAAGTTGGCACCTTTTAACTCGGCCGGAGACAGAAACTGCAAAGCAGCACCAGCGCCTCTTTCTGAAGGCTGTAGGCACCGTGGGACAGTTGACCGTTGTCACTCTGCTCGTCATCACCGGCAGCAGCTTTAGCTTGAGATTTCGAAATTTTCGACATGTTGGAGCTATTCAAAGCTGCCTCGATCGACAATGAAAGGTTGTGCAAACGCGTGTGCCACTGCATTCCAGACACGATTCGAGATACTGGATGTCTGAGGCTCACGATCACATGCCCAGCTCCATGCTCCAGCAACCTGAGGGCCGGGTTTGCCACCCTTTTCTTTGGGCTTCGTTCTGTTTAAAGGTTCTTGATTTTTATCATTTCCAATACGAAATCATCCAGTCTCCAACAAAATCAACAAAAACACCCACTCATCTTTGCACCAGTCATGTTGACACAGCAGCTTTGTCTCCTAAGTTCTGTTCAGGTGTTGGCATTAGATCAGTCCAGAATCGTTTTCACATGAAAGGTTGAGAAGGCGGCAAAGTCATCCTCTTGTCAAGAGTTCAACGTCCCAAGTCCCATGTAGCAACATCAAGCTATCTATCAGTTTGGATATGCTGCGTCTGATGAGATTCTATGCAAAAACATCATTAATACATATTAATACGAGACAGCATCATGGAGAAAATCATTACATTTCATTATGATCTATTTGTATTTGTTTCTTTCTCTCTTGAGAATGTTTTGTTTTTCAACGACGAGTTCTTCAACGCAGAGACACGTGTGAGCATTGCATTGATGGTCGTGCAAATGGAGGCCCGAAGATTCTGCCAGCATTTGGCTGAGTGTCTCGGAGCCTGTTCCTTGCGAAACTGGAGACGTTTGGAGTGGAAAACAGTGCCACAGTGCTGTGTTTTTTCCGAAAATCTGTCGAAAACCCAAGGAGTTTAACATGTTTTTTTGTCGCATCGGAAAGAACCCAAGATTCGCGCCACTGACACGGACAGAACCATGCTCCCATTCAAAGGTGGCAGCTGCTCGGCGCAAAGTGCAGTATCCTTTGAACCTTGGCAGAGTTCGAACCAAGGACTCGAGGACTCGAGGACCAATCGACCATCCTCTCCGCTCAAAGAGAACTCTTGGCATCGTAAAGTTGACGTTCGAGGTCAACTAACCAAAATGCGAAAGGAAAACCAAGCAGACAGGAATCCCTATGAAAAACCAGCTAGTAACGCCAAAAAAAATCACCCAGCAACAGTGGTATGTTTCAAGGTGCATGTATGCGCATGTCTTTTTTTTGGCTGAGGCACGAATCATATCCTGTAAGCTGAAGCTCCTGTCCAGTAGCGACCCTGCTTCTGGAGGAAGTGCACATGACCATAGGTCATTGTGGAAGTCACAGTCAAAGCCCCAAGCCATCTCTGGGAGTTGGTCGTCCACCTGGCGAAACAGGGGCGGCCTAACCATATCATACCATATCTGGGCCCATGTCAAGCCACTTGGGCCCAGGTAGCCCCTGGTTGGATCCTGTGGCCCCAGCCCCATATGGCCCCAATCCCATGGCGCCAGGGGGCAGCAACGTCCTTGCCGTGTCTTCGGGTCAAGATCTGAGCCATCGCGGCAAATGGCCGATCGATGGATGCCAACTGCGGCCACTTCACCTGACGCGTCGAAGCCCGTCGAAGCCCGTCGAAGCCCGTCGAAACCCGTCGTCTTCGTTTCAAAGTTGGCCCAAAAAACTAGACGATGGTTGGCCCGAGAGCGAGTAGGTGTATAGGTACTCAGATGTGTTATGTAGTTGTATGATTTGCAGACGCCAAAGACTTGCATGAATATGTTCATGAGAATGTTACTTGAGATCATGTGAATATGTTCATTGTGTGTAGATGTCAAGATAAGAAAATGTGAAGATGTCAGGGTTTTAGTTGCAAGAGACAGACACGGTATGCTGTATAGAAGGTTATTGAAGATGTGAAAAATACAAACATACAGATATGCTGATAGGCTCTCAAACACAGACACACGCAGAGAAACATGTTTACACATATATACACAGACACACACACACACAAACCCACACACTTGTTCAGAACAATCTTTGCGAATTCTGATGTGGAATGCATCTTACGTGCAAAAACACTCCATTAAACCTGACAGGAAAAGTAATGAGAAGATGTGAAGATGTGAGGATGTGAGGATGAGAAGATGTGAAGATTTGAAGATGTGATGTGAAGATGTGAAAATGTTTGACAGACCACCACTATTAGAAGAACCCTTCGCTCAGGCGCTCTCGGGAAAAACTGGGACTGGCTGGACATTGCAGGAAGCCAAAGTCTTTGTCAGAAATTATAGAACACTAAAGTTCTTGGAAATGTTCCTTTCATTAAAAAACTGATGTCATGTTAGGCCCTGTTCGTCATCGCCAAGCCGCTCCCGGCTCCGAATGGATCGGCAAGGCACCTCACAATGTTGCCAAGTGATCCGTCTGAAATTCTATCAATTCTGCGGTCATTTGCTTGGCATATCTTAGCATTGTTTTTCTTTGATGCACAAGCTGTGACATAAAGCCAATGCCAGTTGCTATCCGCGCTCGTATTTCAAGATCTCGACCCCTGAATTCCCCTTCTCTTTTTTCTCTCTGTGTCATATACATATATACATATATACATATATACATATATACATATATACATATATACATATATACATATATACATATATACATATATACATATATACATATATACATATATACATATATACATATATACATGTATACATGTATACATATATACATCTATACATGTATACATATATACATCCATACATGTATACATATATACATATATACATATATACATATATGCATATATACATATATACATTGTTGATGTCCAACATCTGTTGTCCCCTTTCTCTATCTTTGCTCAGGACCATATGGACCACGTGACATCTCATGCCAACAGCTTCCATTCAGACATGCCATGACTGATCATGTATCTGTCGCCGGCCGACTTCCTTTCAACTGTGCGTCCACCAGTGTGGTGGGTGGGCGAGGCATCTTGAGTCCAAAAGCAGAGCGGGAGGATCAGGGATCCAGGTTTCTTGGAGAAGTAGGCATACTTCACTATTGGTTTCGCATTGGTAGCGGAGCCCCTATATAGCTGCAGGGGCATTAATCTTAAATAATTAAGGGTGGGACCCTTTTGGTGCACGTGTTTCATTTTGGAACAAAAGACAGTCAAAAACACTGAACAACTCCTGGGGCGATCTGAGCAATGTCCATGGCGGATGGCGCAACGACTGCCCCTGCGGAAGCAGGAAGTCTTCCCGCTAGTCAACTACCATGGCAACAGATACCGACCTTTGACCCGCAGACCACAGACTTGCAGGTCTACTCCAGGAAGCTGCAGTTCCTGAAGGACATCTGGCCTGTGGAGCATATCGGTCAACTTGCTCCACGAGCAGCACTACAAGTTCAAGGTGTGGCCTTTCAGAAGGTGGCCAGACTAGACACAGCAAAACTTCGTAGCGAGGCAGGAGTGAAATACTTGGTAGAAGCTTTGGGTGGTCAATGGGGAAAGCTGGCTAGTGAAGAAAAGCTTTCCTACTTTGAGCGTGCTTTCTACCTGACGTCACAACGCTCAGACGAGTCCAACGACTCCTACCTGGCTAGGCATGATGCAGCCTTCGAGGATATGACAGCAGCGGGAGTGACGATGGAAGAGGTCCGAGCGTATGTCCTCATCCGTCAAAGTCAGTTGCCTGCTGATGACAGGAAACGGCTGGTGGTCGAAACTCAAGGAAATCTGTCCTACGAAGGGGCACGGAAGTCTTTGAGGTTGTTGGGTTCCAAGTTTTTCCAAGACCTTCAAGGGGGATCAAAGACCAACAAGTACAAAACCTATGATGTCAACTCTACCGAGATTCACGATGAGACGGCCATGATGACGTCGGACATGGAGATGATCGACGAGGAGGCCCTGGTCCAATATCTTCATGAAAATGGAGATGAAGACGCAGCCTTCATCATGGACTTTGAAGAGACAGTGATTGAGACTTTGCAAGACTCTCCAGAGCTTGCTTCTTGCTACCATACCTACATGGAGGCCAGGACACGTCTGAAGGAGCGGGCAAAGTTCAGAGGCTTCTGGGCAACGGCTGGAGCTTCAAAAGGAAAAGGCAAGAAAGGAAAAGGAGGTTTTGGAAAAGGATCTCAAGCCCGACCAAAGTCACTGGCAGAGAAGATTGCAACTTCAGCATGTCGCCGTTGTGGTGCTATGGGACACTGGAAAAGAGAATGTCCTCTAGCTGGAGCCAAGGGAGATTCCAAGGGCAAGGGCCCTGCCCCAGAGACGATCACCCTGGCCGAAGCCCTGAACATCAACGAGGAGATCAACCAGTCGCACCTCATTGAGGAGATGCCCACGACGTTGCCGGCTGATGCAATGGATCTAGGCCTGGAACAAGGTTTATCTAGGGAAGAGGAAATTGCTTTGATGGGTGAAATTTTTAATAGTCCCCAAAATTGTTTCAATGATGAGACAGAATCGCAACCCAAGGGAGGTTGGACAGAGTCCCCAAATTTGTTTAATCAGTCAGTGAAAACGCTCATGGACAAAAATTTTGACTTCAAGAAGAAAGTGAAACATAAAGTTCACCATGAACTCTCATCCCAACTCCAAGAAAGACTCCTGCGTTGCTGTAGGAAGCATGGATTTGGGAAATTCATGGACGCCACCGCAGTGACTTCCTCGCCTGAGAAGCCTGATCCGACTGCCCAAAAAGGGTCAGCCCATCAATTTGCTGGGGTGTTTTTGAGTCATGAAGAGAAAGCCGGAGAAGCCGTAATTGACACTGGCGCCAGTAGGTCAGTCATAGGTGAGGACCGACTCAAAGGCTTGGCTGAGTACGTTTTGGGAAAGACAGGGTGTCATCTCAAGAAAGTTGCTTCCAATGTCCAGTTTCGTTTCGGCAACAGTGGCACTCTTCAAAGCCGATATGCAGTTTGCATCCCAAGACAGCAAAAGGGCTGGATCAGAGTGGAGGTCGTGCCAGGCCGCACCCCATTTTTGATTTCTAATACAGTCCTCAAAGAAATGGGAACCCTTATTGATCCCCGAAATCAACAAATCAGATTCCTTGAAAGTGAGAAGGTGATTTCACTCCAAACGTGTCGTAAGAATCTGTTGTGTGTTGATATCGTTGAACTACTACAGGTGGAACAGGAAGGGGAGGTGAAAGAGGAAATCTATATGATGAAGAACACGTCAACTCACGAAAACGGAGAAAGGGAAAACACAGAGCAGAAAGAAACAAATGAGGATTCGATGTCACACCCATTTTGCCTGCCACACACATGCATGACTAAGATGCCGGGTCTTTTTGTACAGAAATCACACACCACAAACCAACAGGCACAGACGTTTGTACAGGCTGCAGAGTCTCAGGATCAGTCCCGTTCAGCAACAGGCAAACTTAGTCATCGTTTTGCAGAACGTTGCCATGGACCACCAGAACTATCTCGAGGAGGAACTCTCGGGGGAAGAGGACCCAGGGTTGACACAGAATGTCACCTACATGAATGCTCCAGATGTGAACTACAAGATCCCCCCAGGAATTCGAACACTGGCACAGTGGGGACAACAGATGTTTCCCACCGGAAAGAAAGCAGGCAAGACGTTTGCCCAGGTCTTCGACGAGGACGACGGCTACCTGATGCAAGTGAAGAACCGCAAGGCAGTGTCGCCTTGGATGAGAAGCTTCCAGAACTACCTCCAAGCCAGATGGAAATGTCGAGCCCAGCAACAGATGCCAGTGGGCCCCAGAAAGCAGAACCTGGAGTCGAACCGAGTCACGCCGAAAGCTATGCCGAGCCCAAGCAAGACCAGTGGGGGCTATCACATCGAAGAGACCGAGTGGGAGAAGCTGTCCACACAACCGAGTGCATCCTCTCACAAGAGAGGCCTTCTCGAGAAGGAGATCAAGGACAAGTCACCAATGAAGACAGAGCCAAATCAGACCAAGATCGAGCACCTCCAGATGCAGATTGCCGTACTCCAACGAGAACTGGCACTCGAGACGCGCGTCCCCGAGGACCAGTGAATGTCTCCCAGGACCCGAGTGAGTCTCAGAGCCAACATGTCCACCTGTTGAGTGAAAGTCAGGTTGCAACGATTCATGAAAGTATTTCCAACAAAATGACCGAGATTCAGGGCGGATTGTCTAATCTCAGAAAGAAGCATACTATACTGACCCCAAAGAATCCACAAGAGTCCAATAGTAATCAAAATATTGACCTTTTGGAAGTGTACTGTGGACCGGAATCCCAATTGACCCATCAAATAAATCGTTTGGGAGGAAGGGCCATAAGATTCACCAAGGGAGATGGGGACTTATCCACGAAAGAAGGGATTGAAAAACTATGGACTTGGATCGAAATGTATGAACCAAATCACATTTGGGTGGCACCAGAATGTAGGCTTTGGGGATCCTTCGCAAAATATAATATGGGGAGAAGTCCACCGATTCAAGAATCAATTCTTCGACAACGAAAAGAGGATGTTTGTCACCTTGAGCTGTGTAACGAATTGTATCTCCACCAAGTTTCAAGGGGTAAACACTTTCACTTAGAACAACCCTATGGATCAGAAATGACAAAACAGCCGCAATTGAGCGACGTGGTGACAGGAACACTTCCGACCTTCTTTGACATGTGCCAAGCTGGAAAACTTCGAGCCCCTAACCAAAAACATTTCCTCCGAAAACGTACACAGGTGTTGACCACGAGTAGGAGCATGCATGCCATGTTGCACTCACAAAACTGTACACATGACCATACACACCAACCCATACAAGGAAGTGTGCAGGGCTTGGATCACAAATGGATCAAAGTATCTGCATATGCTGCTGCATACACTGCTGTTTTTGCCAGAAAAATTGCACAAGGTATCAACAGAGGCAAACAGGTGCAGGAGAAACCACTTCTTTTGGAGGAATTGTTGGTTGGGGAGGATGTAGAAATGCGAGAAGGGGCAAAGAAACGGCCAATGGCACAGGAAGTTTTAGAACTGCGGAAGTGTCGTCGCAGACATGATGGCAAAAGCCCACCGACCGAAGCGGACCTAGAAAGAGATCGTATGGTAGCCGAGGAGGAGGGCTGGCGAAAAGTTGTAGCTCTCTTAGAGAAGAGGACACCACGTGTTGGGAACGCTTACCTTAGGGTTGGGGATCCCGAAATGGAGAGGGTTCAGGAAATGGTCCCAGAGGTCGAGGTGCGCTTAGTCATCATGTGCCGTGGCACCGAACGCCACAGAGTTCCAAATGCCAACTTTGGAAGAGAGGATATCCCTCTTCGAAAGATGGTTTATGTTCACCGTCAAAGCGGCAAAATCGTGGATCTAGGAGCTTTTGAAGAATGGAACAGAATGTCCAAGGCGAAACAAGTACGCAAGGCAGGTCCAGCTAGGATTTCAGCTAGCATTTTTGGAAGACCCCGAAGTGTGGCAAGTGGTTCAAGGGGTTTGAATCAACAAAGCATGGACATTGAAGAACCAGACAAACATTCTGATTCTGAACTCCCTGACAGCTCCATGGATCACAGTGATTTTCAGCATGTCCCAGTCCCAGCAGTTTGTGACGGCTCAACTGTTAAAGATCCCTCATCGGAGGTTGTGCCTGAAGGGTGGGCACCCAAAATCATTCCCGTGCATGGGCCGGCATTTCTTAGGTTGAGTGCACAGCAGCGTTCGGACTTGTCCAGGTTGCACAATAATTTGGGACACCCAGATCCGGCACGTCTCCGAAGAATGCTGGAAGCTCAAGGAGCTGATCCCGCCGTCATAGCTGGAGCTGAAGACATGCAATGTGATGTTTGTTTGGAAACTCAACCAAAACCCAAACTCCCAAACCCGAGTTCTATTCATAATGATTTGGATTTCAATGATGTTGTTGGTGCTGATGGGGCTTATTGGAAATCGGGAACCGGGGAAACATACCATTTCATGCATTTTATTGATGAGGGAACTTTGTTTCATGTTGGGATGGTGAGTGGAAGAACTACCGAAGAACAAATATCTACTTTTGAAAAAGCCTGGCTGATGTGGGCCGGACCATGCAAGACCCTGTATTTGGACCCAGCGGGGGAGTATATTAGCCCATTGTGGAACCAGTACCTCCAAAAGGAAAATATCAGGGTAACCATGGCCGCTGGCGACAGTCACTGGCAAATTGGGAGAGCAGAAATTCATGGCAAAATCATTAAAGATATGCTCACCCGAATGGACAAAGAAGAACCAATCCAAAACATGAGTGATTTTCAACGCTGTTTACGCCAAGCCTTTGCAGCAAAGAATTCATTATCCCGGGCCAAGGGTTTCACACCTGAGCAGGCTTTGCTGGGAAAATCCCGAAGTTTACCTGCCTCGCTGACATCGGATGACAGCACCAGTGCTCATGCTCTAGCTGAGAGTGATACTCCAGAGGGTGTCCAGTTCAGGAATAGCCTCCAAAGACGAGAGCAAGCACGTCGTGCTTTCATACAAGCAGACAATGACAGCGCATGCAGGAGAGCATTGTTGCGCAGAAGTAGGCCCGGCAGCGTAGAATATGGCTCTGGCGATTGGGTGCTATACTGGAAGAAAACCGTAGGAAACCAGCGTGGTGCCCGGGGCAGATGGCATGGCCCAGCACAGGTCATCACGGTGGAACAACGGAGAGTTGTGTGGCTTAGTCATGGGGGATACTTGATTAGGGCATCACCCCAGCACCTTCGTCCAGCATCTTTAAGGGAGTACAGGGCTTTACCAAGGGATGTAGATGGTCGAGTAAGGGATGAAGTCATAGACCCAAAAACGAGGAATTTCCACGCACTCACCGATGTTCCACCAGATGATGGCACTGACTACGAACCTTCAATAGCACCCACAGCAGAAGGTCCTCAGACCAATGATCAACCTGAACAAGAGGTCTCACCACCTCTGAGTGCGAGTGGAGGAGGGATGGGGTCAGAAGAAGAAAATGATTATGAAGACCCATCCATGATACCCACAAATGTCCCCGAAAATGGTGACCTAGGGGGGATAGGAGTTCCAGTTCCCATGGATGATGAAGGGGATGATTCTCTAATTTGTTTTGGGGATGATATTGCGGGTCCTCCACAAGTACCTGGGGTGCGGGAAATAGAAATCAATGATGCACCAGATATTCCCCACAAGCAAGATCTGGCTGACAAAGACTTCGCGGAAATGATCTTGGTGGCAACAACTGCCAAAAAGCAGCGAGTGGAAGTGAAATGGAGAGATCTCAATGACCATGACCGGGCGTTGTTTCAGCAGGCCAAGGACAAGGAAGTTCGGGCATGGATCGAACATGATACTGTGAAAAGATTAGCAAAGGGATCTCTTCCACCAAATCGTATCATGCGCTGCAGATGGATCCTTAGTTGGAAACCGCCATTGCCAGACACCACAGCATACAGGCCGAAGGCACGACTGGTAATTTTAGGTTTTGAGGACCCCGACATCAGTGTTGTCCCAAATGATGCACCGACACTTAGTAAGGATGGAAAACAGTTGATTCTACAAAAGGTGTCTAGCAATCGCTGGCCCCTCCTGAATTTCGACATTTCAACAGCCTTCCTGAAAGGTGAAGGAGATGGCAGGGAACTAGGAATACATCCACCACCAGAGATTTCCAAAGCACGTGGCATGAAGGAAGGGGAGCAGTGCGGCCTCCAAGGGGGTGCATATGGCCGGATTGACGGGCCATACTTGTGGTATCATGCTTTCAAGCGTACTCTGGAGGAATTAGGATTTGTTCCTTGTCCCCTTGATGGCTGTGCTTTTGCGCTTGTTACCCCGGATGACCAGGGAAAACCTTGGGTCGGGGGTGTTCTAGGGATCCACGTTGATGACGGACTAGGAGGGGGTGATGAATATTTCATGGAGGTGATTGGGAATCTCCGTCAGAAATACTCACTTGGCGCTTTCAATATAGGGGAGTTTGATTTTTGTGGAATCCGATACCGGCAGTTGGGTGACGGCAGTATTGAGTTGTGTCAAAAGGGGTATGTGGAACATATAGAACCCATTCAAGTCCAACGTCATCGTCGAAAGACACCACAGGCACCAGTCACTGAATCAGAAAGACAGTGTCTTAGACAACTTTGCGGGTCCCTACAGTATGCGGCTGTACAGACCAGGCCAGACGTCCGTGCCAAAGTTGGATTGCTACAATCAGCAATCCCTCGAGCGCACATAGAAGACTTGCTGGAAGCAAATCGTGTTCTGCTGGAAGCCAAAAACCATCCAGTAACAATTTTGGTGGTCCCAATACCAGAGGATCAAGTGGCATTTTGTGGTTTTTCCGATGCCTCTTTTGAGACTAAGAAGGGTGTTGCCTCACGACAGGGAACCATAGTTTTCACCACGGATGGAAATATGGCGGAGAATCAGCTTTCAGTGATTTGTCCCATAGCATGGTCCAGTAGAAAAATTCCCAGAGTAGTACGCAGCACGCTAAGCGCAGAAGCTTCAGCGTTGAGTAGCACACTCGACAGAGTGAGCTGGCTTCGTATTATGTGGGCCTGGCTCAAAGACCCAGGAATAGATTGGACAAGTCCCACGGAAATTTTGCAGAATTCTCCGTTGGCGACAATTGCCACAGATTGCAAGTCAGTCTACGATCTCTCGACAAAGACATCGACCCCAACTTGTGAAGAGTTCAGGACAACTTTGGAATGCTTGCTCATCCGAGAGAGGCTATCCGAGAACTGCAAGCTTAGGTGGGTAAGTAGTCAGGCCATGCTGGCAGATTGCCTGACCAAGGCGATGGATGGAGGAATGTTGCGTAGAGCTTTGGAGTTGGGAAAATATGCCCTCTTTGATGAGCTAGCAATCCTACAACAAAGAGCGGATAAGAGAGAGCGTTTGAAATGGCTGTCTGATCAGGAAAAACAAATTCGATCAAAAGAGATGTCTCAACAGGAGAAAGTTTGATTTTGTTTATATTTTTGACGAGTGTTGATGTCCAACATCTGTTGTCCCCTTTCTCTATCTTTGCTCAGGACCATATGGACCACGTGACATCTCATGCCAACAGCTTCCATTCAGACATGCCATGACTGATCATGTATCTGTCGCCGGCCGACTTCCTTTCAACTGTGCGTCCACCAGTGTGGTGGGTGGGCGAGGCATCTTGAGTCCAAAAGCAGAGCGGGAGGATCAGGGATCCAGGTTTCTTGGAGAAGTAGGCATACTTCACTATTGGTTTCGCAATACATATATACATATGTACATATATACATATATACATAAATATATACATATATACATATACATATATATACATATGCATATATATATATATGCACGATATACATACATATATGTATATATATATACATACATACATATATATATACATATATATATATACATTATATATATATATATACAATATCAATATATATATATACATACATACATACATACATTACATTACATTACATTACACTACACTACACTACATTACATTACATTACATTACATACATACATACATCTACGATAGAAATTTACCATCCAGAAAACTCCCCCTGGAGCCCAAGCCTGAGAGCTTCCGGAGCTTCACATCGTTGCAATGGGCGTGGCTTGAACCAAACTCTTCGCAAATCGCGTGGATGATGTCCAAAGTAGCTGGGTGATGTGCGTTAACGTCTTCCTTAGATTGCGAAAAAAATAGTAAAAAATTAGCTGAAATAGCAATGACTATTCAAAATGACTCATATCCGAAAAAAGAATCCCAGGATACGAAACTCAAGCCTGCCCACGATGGAACCAAGGCCCTCAAAGCGAGAAAACATACGTGGCCGGTGGGGTCACACGGGCAAATCTACAAAACCACCGCGGCCAAAGTACAATCTTTGTTCTGCTTGGCAAGTTTCCACCCAGAAGGACTTCTCTGCATACTTCTCCACAAAACTGTTCCTACAGCTCAGTAGCAAATCACCGCATGAAACGTAGAGAGCACTGCTACATGCCGCATGCCTACCAAATCTCATGCTAAACATGTTTGTTTAAAGCTAAACTGCACAAACCAAAACTTAACATCAACTGTCATCAACTCATGAATGGAAGCTTCCCGAATCAGTATGGCACCGCAGCGGGAGCTTCAAGGGTATGTCTAAGGTATCAGGGGTTGCCTCCAGCTTTTGTGACTTGGACTCCCTTGCACCCGAGAGAGCTGGAGTAGAACCTGTTGGCTCGAATATCTATAAACATGACATGAAATGATCTTAGCTTCAACTTCCTTCAACTTCCTTCAACTTCCTTCAACTTCCTTCAACTTCCTTCAACTTCCTTCAACTTCCTTCGTCGCTTTTTGACTGCGCCATGTTTTGCGGCACCAAGATTCTGCAAGACATAGTGTTTGAGCGCCAGGCGCAATCGATCGTCGGCCATGTCGGCCGTGTCGGCCGTGTCGGCCGTGTCGGCCGTTGCAGTCGTTGGCCCAAAGTCTGCAGCACAACGAGCAAACTCCAACCAGTCAAAGTCGTCAGTGCTCTCAGCCCTCGAAGGGATCCTGCAACCGCTGCAACCGAGGTACGAATGTCAAGAAAAAATAGATCAACCGATCAACCTAACACATATCTCGCGCCATAAAGATCTTCCAAAACAAAATCAACTAAACGTAATTAAACGTATATGTACATGTAACATCATGTCACATCTTGGTGTAGGATTCAAGAGATTGAAGGACTTTGCTTGTCACGGCTTGCAAGAATAATCTCACAGGTCGACACATCTTTCCATCACCGCCATCACCGAGGCTCTGTTTCAGCGGATCCCGAAGCATCAGAAAGGCCTTGGAGAAAAATCTGGGGCTCTGCCAACTGGGTACCGTGCATCCAGAACGATGCAATCCATGGATCCAACTCACAGCCCCATCTGCACCACGCGCTGCGTCAGAGTGATGGCTCACGTTCATTCCTTGGATCACACCAAAATATGCCTCCAAAAAAAGGTCGATTCTACATACGACAGGAGAAGAATCTAATGTGTCGACTTCCTGTTGCACATCGTCGAGTCGAGGATCCAAGGCCTTGAAACAGCTGGGTCAGAAAGCGTGTGCCACTTCGGCTGGCGCCACTCACTAAAAATCCCGCTGCTTGGCCAAGTCCAAAATGCTCACAGCTGGCGTTCAGGATGTATGTGTGCTGCCAAATGCCTGGCGGTTTAACTGAAGTAACTTGAAGTAACTGTTTTTTATATGTGTTTTTCATGTATAGAGTTAAACAACCAATTTATGGATATCAGATGGAATCAGATACGCAACTTGGGTCAGATTCCCCATGAAATCTTCGATGCCAAAAAAATGTTTCCTTTGTGGAAATTGTTTGCTGTTGCTCGTGGTCAAGTGCCAAATCCCGATTGACTTTCTCGCTTCGCCGCTTCCGGAAAAAGAATCAAATCTCTGGAAAACCGATACCCTCTGGTAAACTAACATAGCTATGGGAAATCACCATCTTTAGTAGTTTAATAGGTAAATCAACTATTTCTATGGGCCATTTTCAATAGCTACGTTAAATTACCAGAGGATAAGTTGAATAAATCCTGTGGTTTAACTCGGTGTAATTCACAGTGTTTAAGGCACAAAAGACATAGGACCCAGGTTGGCCCACGGGCTGTCGGGATGCGGCACGCCGGCGGCAAAGAGTTGAGCTTCAAGTTCATCTGTAGCAGTGATGCATCAGAAACGGCTCCCGAGTCTGTGTCATCGTCACAGGTTATCTCCGTCTCAGCGTATCTTTCCGCCCCGAGAATGCATAAAAGACTGAAAAGCCGCCACGTCATGGATGTTCTAAGGTCGAGGATTTACGACCGGTCGTTTGAGCTCAAAGCTGCAATGTGGCAAGTTGGGACAAAACAGGCAAGTTGGGAGGTCAAAACTTATCTGCGAAAGTCACCTCCCGTCCCATCGCCGGGGCCAGCTCTGTATTTGCTGCCTCGGTGTCGAAGTTCTCCATTTAAGGAATGCGCAGAGCTGCAAGGAACATGGGACTGCTATAAGAAACCAACCCCATGGGCCGCTGGAGATACCATCCGAAATGTGGCTGCTTTATTTTTTGTTGGCCACATTCTATATCTATTAATCTATTAATCTATTTGATACATATGTATATATATATATATTATATTAAAAATTATAATGTATATGTATAGACATATTATGACGCAAGGAATCTTTATCTTCTCAGCGGATCTTGTAAAGCTTGTCTGCAGTCCCATGACACTATTCGCTGCGGAGAAAAATGACATCGCAATACAAAAAAGACAACGTTTGCAAATAGGGAGAGACATGGAGATGCACAACTTGCGAAGTTTCAACTCGACGGATACAGAGTGACACATTGAACCGAATCAACCCATTGGAACCACCTCTTCAGCATCTCCCTTCTCTGGCCGTGGCCGCTAACGCTCTCGGCTTTCAAATGTGGCACTGTGATTTTCAAATCCTGTTGGAGAGTTGCAATTGAGTTGACCATCCCTCTAACATCTGAAGAATCGTTCCAAACATCATAGGATCGAAATGGATCGACCTCAAAAAAGATCGTGGGAGGTCGTGAGTTTTTTAAATACGATCTACTACATCTGCTACATCTGCTAAGTTTCCCTAAATTGCTCTTAAAAGTTGCAGACAGCGCTCAAGCTTCACTCGGTGAGCCTCACGAGAGGCTTTCACCCCGTCACAACGGATCCTACCCTCTGTTTAACATAGGCATGGAAAGTCACCACTTTTTATAGGTCTATGAATGGACCATGTTCCATAGCTATGTTAGTTCCGAGGGTAAATCCTATGAAAGTCCCATTAAATCACCATAAAATCCCATGAAACTCATGGGTGTTTGGTATCGCCCAGGTATCGCCCAGGTACTGGGTTTGTTTCCAGTGGTGAGTTTCAACTCGGCAATCCGCTTCCCCGCATCGTACTTGGTGATCTGCAAGGCGTTTCGTGGGCGTTTCGTGGGCGTTTCGTGGGCGTTTCGTGGGCGTTTCAACAGGATCCCCAACAATGCTTGAGAAATGGAGATAGAATGGGGATATCATGGAAATAGATCACCAATATGATAATATTATATATATATAATATTAATAATATTCATGATGATTGGAGCTATAGACCCACAATGAAATGGGATAGTTATGACAATATATATATAGCTGGAAGGATGGTGAAAAAAATATCTCCCATGCATAACCAACCATAATGGGGATTTATGGAGCCATGGAGGTTGTTTAACCCACAATGAAATGGGAACATAATGGGGTTATATCACCAACAATGGAGCCGATGATTTTTTGTTTGTCCAAAACTCGGGTACCCCAAAAAAACCCAAAAAGGGTTTCAAAAATCATGTTCCCCATTAAAATTGCCAGAAATTGGTGGAAAAGTATGGAAAAGTTCATTTAATCCCATCCTCCATTCAGAAATTGCAAAACTATGGTCACAGTCATATGCGTTTTTTAAAAATCCCTAGATCCATCATGGTGACTCTGGGTGAGTGGGGAAAGGAACCAAACAACATACTACACTGATAAAGATCATTGAAGATCCTATCATTAAAGATCCTAATTTTCCCATCCCTCAGATACAATTCATATTGGGATGATTTTGGGATACCCTGTGGTAATTTAACAGTTTGCTATTGAAAATGGCTATTTAGTTCGTTGATTTACCTCTTCAGGGTGATTTTCCAGTTCGCAAACTGTAAACGTTTACAGTTTGGACCAGTTTGGACCGGAGGGTCTCCTAAACTCTCAAAAAATGTCCCTCCACAGCCTCGGTCCAAATGCCAGGACCAAAGAAGCGGTCGCAGGCCACAATCTTCCTGGGTGGGCTCGATTTGGATCGCTTTAAGGCTCCAATTTCGGGAAGATCGATTCACATACTAAAATCTATCAAATATAGAAACTCATATCATATATCAAATATCAAATATCCATATGCAGAACGATGGGAAAGCAATCAAACATCAATCCATGTTAACAGTTGATTGGTATTAACCGAAAGAATGTTTGATTGTACAGTTGATTCATCAAGAGTTGTCAATACTATCAAAATGCAATGATAATCAATAAGCCAGTGGTTGAAAGCAAACTATCAAAGCTATCTATAGTCGATTATCGTTTGAGACGTAACTCATTGACAAACCATATTTGGTGGTGAAATTTGACCATGATGGGAGATTTCCTAAGATCTTAAATGATCAAAATTGGGATAGAGCCAATGGATACTGGATATAGGTTGTTGCCTGAAAATTGAGGATTGAACCGGGCTTTATAACCAATCCTAGTGGGGATACTATTGGATATATATATATATAACCACTTTAAATAGGATCAATAGATGATATCCAATCAGGCATCAAATTTAGGGGTACCGTTCTCTTCAGTGCCTGATTGATAGATCATCGATTGATAGATCATTTGAAAATGTGATAGATCTCAGAATGCAGTTTTGTAAATGGCGACAAACACTGATTGATTCCTTTGCCAATGATACAGTATGGGGCCCCAAGATAGCTAGGTTGCCTTATAAGTGGCTTAACTATGGTTTATGGTAGATATAACTATAGTTAGTTCATGGGGTTTATAAACCAACTTATAACTGGGGGGCACCATCCTGTATCAAGATTGAAATATATCAATCACTGTTTTTTGATCTGGTGCACCAAACAAGCAAAAGGAATGAGCCCTCCAATTGGTGACGACTACAAAAACCACCCGTTTCGAAGGTAAAGTTGGAAAATAATTGATGACTGGATTTACCAACAGATCGGAGAGATTGCAGACATACATTATATCTATCTGATTTTCTGGACGGATCCGTATATACGTATAATACTATGTGTATACATAATTCAAGATATACATTAGTTGTGGACAAAGGTGCATCAAATATTCAAATATGATCAAATATGTATGTTCTTCATATGCGTTACATACGGTCTGGATACGAAATCGCAAAATCCCATAGTGGAGCCAGACCAAGCCAAGTGGCATGGGATCACTCCAAATAGTGAAGGGTAAGTCCTGCTTCGTTCAATTTCGGAAGCTTTCGGACTGGGTGCAGCAAGTTCGTCACTGGTTGAGTACACTGACCACAGTGAATCTTCAGAATTCGAGCAATGAATTTGTTCGCTGCTGAGAGTGGGGACGTCAAGCTTGCTTAATGATACTTATGTTACTAATGTTCTTACTCTGTCAAAAAAGTCTGCAAATCAATCCGCAATAAAAACTGCGTTTGAGGATCATCCCACTGAGGAATGGGATAATGACCCTGGACCTGGGTTATCCATGGTTATCCACTATCCCATTTCACCATATTTCACCCATTTCAAATTCAATCAACTGCCCCAACACTGGACTCGAAAAACGTGTGGTCATCATAGAAAAACGTCGTCCTTGGACTCGAAGAGCAAGCGAAAAGCAAACTCGCCATTCGGAGCTTTGGACTCGATGATCTTCAAGAGCTTTGGATATCTGCATGAGTTCTGTAGAGTTTTTTTGGGGGATTTACCTCCCTTCTGAAATGGACAGTTGAAAAAGGATTGAAAATCATGATTTACAATGATACAAATACAATCAAATATAATCAAATATAACACCTATACAGGCAATCTCATGGAATATATGGGAATCATGATGCTCAAGCATCAACTTTGGGGGGGTCAAGAATATTCAGACAATATCACAACGCGAATCGGCAATGTCACAAATGCCTGCCACCAGCGCCCACCAAACCCAAAGCTTTCAAAGACGAGTCCAAGTGGGCATCATCACCTGCCAGGTTGATCTGTAAAGATTTGTAAAGTGCAAACTACACCAACTATATCAACTATACCCTCTGTGCAAAGCTTCGAAAGTTTGAAGGTGTGGCCCTCTTTGCAAAGTTTCAAAGTTTGAAGGATTTGAAGCATTTTGAAGGTGTGTATTTACATGTATTTACAGTCTTCAGATCTGTTCAGTGCATGTTCTGTTGTTCCATTTCACGTGAGTCATCACGTCCCTTCCGCAAATTATTTGGCTTGCCACAGTGGTGGGCTATCTGACTATGTACGCCGCCACGGTTTTGTCTCCTTCAAGATGTGTCCTCCAACGGTCTTATGCGTTCTGTCTCCTTCAACGTTCAAGAATCTTGTTATGATGGGAAAATCCCTATAGCTAAATCATGTCAAATCCCCTCTGATTTTTGGCAAAGTGCCCAATTTTTCTATTCCATCATCATCCATTATCTATACCGTCCATACCAATTACCCATCCCCAATTGGTGCTGCTGATTGCTTTCTCTCTCTGTTCCTGGCCCATGAACTTCTATCCCTGCGTCTTACAACAAGCAATGGTGGTCAATAATGTCTCATACTCTCACACAATAATAAGAAATGAATGGTCAATTCGAAATCAAGAAACAAACACGGGCACAAAGTCTTTTGGCAGCAGTTCAGTAAATGCAGTATATGTACATTTTGTTTCAATGAAATTCTACATCTCAGAGATCTCAGATGAGCCAATCACTTGGCCGGGCTCACCATAGCGATGACGGGTGACATCTGCCTTCACCTGGCGTTCTGCGGCAGCTGTTTGGCTCAATGGTTGGTGGACCGGGCGCCTTCTGCATGGTCGAGGTCGCCTTGGTGTCGAACAAGCCCACCGCCTCGGTGACACAGACGGCGATTCGCCGGCGATCAGCGGTTCGTTGTGACTCGCTGTGACTCAGTGCCCTGCGTCTGGATCGGTTTCGACCTGTGGAAACAGGAAACCCTGTGGAAACCTTGGGGATCTTTGGGGGATCTTTGGGGGATCTTTGGGGGATCTTTTGGGATCAAGCCACCGCCTCCCGACTCGCGGCCCAGAAAACAATAGAAAAAACAGCAGTTGCTGCATCACCTCATAGCTCATACATCCGACACGTATCAATCTCCAAAATCCTCCATCTCCTGGTCTTGGGACCCTGCCTCCACCGGCAAGAGCTCTGCGTAGAGCAAGGCTGCCCCGAGTAACATCACTGGCACCGCATAGATGAAGGTTAAGCCGCCGATGCCACCGCCTATGGGAAAACCCGGTCGGAAAAGCATTATTGATATATAAAAGCAATATTGATATATATATATATATTATATATATATATATATATCATGGGAAAATAAATATGTTGAATATATTTGAGTATACTAAATTCCACTGATTCATCATCATATTCAACATGATCCCTTTTCTGTGGAAAACACCAATGTTATACCACCGTTTTCAGACAAACTTCCAAGGCAGAAAACACGCCTCCGCCAGTGCCAAAGACAAAGTAATCACCAAAGGAGATGACAATCAGCAAAGCGCCTCACGAACGGACAACACCGTGTCCAGCAACGAACGAATCTGAGAGAACTCCAGAAAGAACATCAGACATTCGAAGGCTTTCTACTGCTTTATCAGATTTATCGATGTCAAATTGTACCACATTTTAAAAATTTAGATGAGACTCATTCAATCTCATTCATGTACCACATTGAGATGCAATATAAATGAACCACATTGTACCCACATGTACCAACATTTATGTACATTTCATCCGCAGCCTGGGCCCCCTGGGCCTGCAACCAAAAAGGCTTGCGCCAAGGAGAATCCACGAAGCTCGATAGGCGGCTGGCGGTGGCACATGGTGGCGCCAGAGCGGCCACAGGCGGTGAAAAAAAGGGGTGAACGGCAACAGGAACAAGAAATGTCTAATGTAACTTGGATGAAATGATGAAATTTGTTGAAAGTTGTTGAAATTTGATGAACTTTGATGAACTTTGGATGAACCAGGAACAGTTTCATAGGCCAATGACTCAAAGTAGCACAGCCATACTTTGCTGTTTCGGGAATCTGCTGGCTTTCCACTGTCCCTATCAGCCCTATCAGCCCTATCGGCCCCACCTCATCGAAATCTTCTGCATCGGGGTTTACGGCCCTGCCGAGAAGGTTTTCAATGTCATCCCCAAAATAGCCTCTGGTAAACAAACAGTGCTATTGAAAGTGGCCCATAGAAATAGTTGATTTAACTATTAAAGATAGTGATTTTCCAGTTCGCAAACTGTAAACGTTTACCAGAGGGTAAATCCAGTGGTTCCAGTGATTTCAGTGATTGTTATCCCTAAGATGGCCATTTGGGGGACCATTTTCAGACACCAAAACATTGCACCACCAATCGTCTTACCCAGGGAAATAGAAAGAAACTTCCGCATTGGGTGAAGATCAGCCACAAAAAAACACCATCCATCATCCGGCGATATGAAAACCATTGAAGAAAAACAATGTCATCCACTGGTTAATCATCATATTTCTAGATATCTATCCCATCAGAATGCCAGGTTTGATGGTGTTGTCCATTAAAACACCAGTTTTGGCCTTATTTGTTCCATTCCAAGGGGACATCTTCTCGAAAATTCCTTGGTTTCCTTTGGTTTTTCTCGTTTACCATGGATTTGGGGCAGAAAATCACCTGAAATCTGCCAGAAATCCTGCCTCAACGCCGTGCGCCCGCCGCGCCCTCCGCGGCTCCGCCGGCTTCGGCTTCGGCTTCGCAGCGCCTGGCGCGTCACGATGCCGGCCACCAGGCCGCCCGCGAAGAGGCCTTGGAGACACCCTGGAGATATTGGATATTTTTTGGGGTAACGGTGGCAAAATGAAGATAGAATTTAGATGAATTTTCAGAAAATAAAGGGATGTGGAAATCACTTGGATTAATGATTATATGGGGATTGTATGCGGATATATTGGGGATATATTAAAAATATAATCAAAAATGTGGTGTTACTCCATGTTTTCCTTCAAGCATCAACTAACGTAGATATGGAAAATTCATGTTTCACCAGGAAATGATGATGGTGAGTTTTGCATATGTGAGTTTGTTGGAGGGTATGCAGTGATAGCAAGTGGTTAAGTTTAAAGACTTGTGTAGGTCCTGATTATTATCACTGTTCTTAATAAATGCCAATTTTGGTGTCATAATAAAAATGATAATGTCATGAGGAGTATGACAGTCAACGACAGGTCTCGCGTCTTGCCATGCGAACATCGGAGCCTGAAAAGCTCTTGCCGATGTCTGTGAAGGCTCCAATCACCTTGACTGAGCCGCGTACGAACAAAACGCCCTCATGGATAAATTGTGTAAATATCATATATTGTATATAGGATATATATACATATATACATATATACAATATGTGTGTATATACGCATACATATATGTATAGGATCTGTATATATATATATACAGGATGTGTATGTGTATATATATATACAGGATGTGTATGTGTATATATATATATCTATATATATATAGGCTAGGATATATTTATAGGATGTATATATATATGTTGATTGCAACTGGTGCGTGAGCACTTATTCATTACCGTTTGGGTCTTGCATGCCTGCGACTATCCGCAGGGACTCTTTTGAGCGATCGAGGTGACAAAAGGTGCCCGTTTGGTTTGTGCAATGGCTTGCACTTTGTGAGGTCAGCGGCCAGTTTAAAGACTGGCAGCGGAGCCTCGTTGAGGTTTCCCCCAAGCTAGGACGTTTGGGTGACTGGTGTGTGAGCGCCATGGCCGGTGCTTCTGCAGCAGCTGAGTCATCAGCTGGTAAGACCTTCTCTGGTGAGAATGAGGATCCCTTAGAAGACATGGGTCATGAACAAACTGTTGACGCTGGACACGAAGGTGCCCAAAGAGGCTCGTGGTGCGTATGTGTATACTTTGCTGTCGGGACGAGCTTTGGACTGCATAGAGCACTTAGAGCCTAGCGAGTACCAGAAAGAAGGAGGTGAAACTGTCATTTTTCAGCTTCTGGATGCCAGGTTTCCACAAAAAGAGTCATCAGATGAAATGAGCGAAACGCTCACCTCAGTGTTCGGACTTCGCGCACTGGAAGGTGAGACTTTGAAGGTCTGGATTGATTTCACGTGCAGGTGAGCCGTTTGATCGTTGCAAACGAAAATGCAAGGTTGATTTCGCCGATGAAGCCAGGGGGTGGCTTACCCTACGTAGGTCTGGGCTCAGTAATGAACAAAGAGCGGTGATTCTGGCAAGAAGCAATGGCAGCCTCAAGCGTGATGACATCGGTCGCGCAATGCGATCATGCTATCCGGACTTTGTGGTCCCCAAGAAGAAGAGTTTTGGACTCAGCTTGGTGGAAGAGGAAGGTGATTCTGTGGTCGATGATGACGACATGGAAGATCTAGACCAAGAAGTTGAGGCCCTGTTGGCCGTCATGCTGAGACACCTCCCAACGACTCTCTAGATGTCTATGATGAGGGTGAAGTTGCAGAGGCGTTGGCCATCTCATGGAAGGACAAGCGCAAAGAACTTGGACGTCTTCAGAGGTCTCGAAGATTTGGGGCTGCATCCGATCTGAAAAGGTCGTACAGAGTCGAGATTGAAGAGCTGAAAAGACGTACGCGCTGTCACAAATGCAATCAGGTTGGCCACTGGTCCGGGGAATGCAAAAGCTCTGGAAAAGGCAAGGGTAAGAGCTCCAGTGCCTCGTCTCAATCCAAGACCTCTGATGCTGGTGTAGCTTTGGTGGAACCATTCACTGAGAACTTCGTAGCTGCTGTTGAGTGCGACACTGAGTTTCCGGCATGTAGTGTCCTGGATCTCCTGCGTCAAAGGCGCGCCCAATCAGCAGAGCTTGTAGTGCCTGGAGGTGACGCTGAGATCATGTTGGTCAGCTCACCTGGCTTTGGCGTAATTGATTCCGGCTGTGGCCGCACAATCATTGGCCGAGATACCCTTTCTGAATTTGAATCCCTTTGGAACGCCCGTGGAATCCCAAAGCCATCACTGTTTTCAGAGGTGAATCATTTCAAGTTTGGAAATGGGCAACGAGAGACGACCGAGTTTTCGGTGAAGCTTCCGGTGATTCTAGCCGGCCGCACTGGATGCATCAAGGCAGCCGTAGTCAAAGGTGCTACACCTCTCTTGATTTCTAGGAGAGCCCTGCATTGCAAGCAGTTGTGAACTTTGGCAAGAATGAGATGTCGCTGTTTCCGGATCAAGTCAAAGTGCCCTTGCTCACCAACGAAGCTGGCCAATCTGTGCGACTTCCTAGCACGCCATTTTGCTGAGCTGGAGGAAGAGTCTGGTCATGAGAAAGTGCAACTGTTTCGTTTCTGGTTGCAAAGCAGAACATCTGTCCTTTTTCCATTTGGGAGTGAATGGATTTCCCTGAGGTTCCAACGCTGGAAGAGAGCTTCGAAGAATTTTTCCTTTAGAATATAACCAGTGTTGATTGCAACTGGCGTGTGAGCACTTATCCATCTCCGTTTGGGTCTTGTATGCCTGCGACTATCCGCAAGGACTCTTTTGAGCGATCGAGGTGACAAAAGGTGCCGGTTTGGTTTGTGCAATGGCTTGCACTTTGTGAGGTCAGCAGCCAGTTTAAGGATATATATTTTTGTTTTTTAAAATATATATATATATTTATATATATATATAGGGTGTGTGTGTGTTAAGTACGTAATACATATATATATATATAGAGATATCGCTAGGGGGCTGACGTTTGCCCGAAATCCACGTAATTCCATGCGGGACTGCAATCTCCTGTGTTGTTTCCGTGCGTGTTTTTCGCACACTGCGAGCATGCAAAATATTGATATTACCTGTGTCTCATGGCATTTTTGCGCTTACCTAAGACGGTGCCAAAATCACCTTTTGAAGCGTATCTTAAAGATATCCTCCGTAATTTGCAGTGTTTCGAGCCGTTAACTCAGACCTCAACTTTCAAAGAACACCCAAAATAACCTAACTCTAAATAAGCCCTAAACAAACCCTAAACCAACCCTAAATCAACACTAAATGACCCTAAATAGATCGTAAAACAACCGTGAGCAAACCCCAAAACAACCCTTAATAGCACGAAAATTAATTAAACAAACCCTAAAGAAAATCTAAACCAACCCTAAGCAAACCCTAAAACAATCTGAAATATGTCCTGAACAAATCCCAACGTAACTAAACCCCCAATGAAACTTTGCGCGAACGTCCGCCCCGGAGGGATATATACAAATATATATATACAGGATATATGGCCAGGAGGCTGGCGGTTGCCCGAAATCTACGGAAATCCACTCGAGACTGCGATCTATCTGTTGCTTGCGTCTTGTTGCATTACGCTTACCTAATTAGGGCGGTGCCAAATTCACCTTTGAACCATGTCATTAACATCTCTGAAACTTGCAGTTTCTCAAGCCTTAATCTAATCTCTAAACACATCGTAACACCCACAGGCACCTGAAATTCACCCAAGTCAAAAAAGAAAAGGAAGGAAACCAAACGTAAATAAGCCAAGAAAGTACAGTAAACCTTCAACCAACCCTAAAGAAACCCTTAACCGACCCAAAAGTAAGTGACCCCCCTGTGAAACTTTGTGCGAACGCCCGCCCCGAAGGGACATGTGTATATGCAAAATTATATATATATATATATACTATACTTTACTACACTACACTACACTCCACTACACTATACTTTACTACACTACACTATACTATACTATACTACTATCTACTAATCTACTTTACTACTATACTACTATACACTACTATACACTACTATACACTACTATACACTACTATACACTACTATACACTACTATACTTTACTACACTACACTACACTACACTATACTATACTATACTCTAATACTATACTAGGTCGTGCCGCCCTTGGGCACCTGGTGTTATTTGGCGCCTTTTGTTCTTTGCGCCTTGTCCTCTTTTGTTCTTGCGCCATAATCAGCGAGCGCTGCAAGCTTTGGCCAATTGCTTGAGAAAGTGCAATGGAACATTCCCCGACAAGCTAATCTAAGTTGTCTAAACATAATATGTATATATATATGTGTGTGTGATATATACATAAATATATATGTGCGTGTGCGTACGTAAATGAGAAATTTATTTATGTGCATAAATATGAACAAGAAAATATGTACTTTGTATGTATGTAATAGTGAAAAAAACATGTATATGTATGCACAAGTTTATATACGCATATATGTATCTCAATGTAATTTTCATTGTGTATACCGGCAACCCGAAAGTTCACGAAGCAATACACATGACGTGAGCAAGTTCACAGGGACGTTAACATTCCCCCCCACCCCAAACCCAAAAAAAGCAAAAAAAATGGGTTTCGTCACCAGTTGCCTGGGGGCGGCGCTGGGTACTATACTAGAACATACCACACCATACTATACTATACTCTACTACTATACTATACAACACTACACTATACTATACTATACACTATACTCCAATACTATACTATACTATACGGTAATACTACAATACTATACTACTATAATAATACGTATACTATACTATACTTTACTATACTACACTACACTCTACTATACTATATTATATCAAATTATACTACACTATACTATATTAAATCAAATTATACTACACTATACTATATTATATCAAACTATACCACACTATACTATATTATATCAAATTTTACTACACTATACTATATTAAATCAAACTATGCTACACTATACTATATTAAATCAAATTATAGTGCATTATATTTTATTAGATCATATTAAATCATATCATCTTATATTCTATTACATCATGTTATGTTATATCAAATTATATCACATTATATCGTTATATAGCAGTGTATTACTATATTATATGTGCTATATTACTGTAATCTATATTATATATACATATATACATACGTGTATATATATATACATACACATATACACATGAATGTGAGATATGTACGATATGTAAATGCTAAATTGTGTGTCGAATGATTCAATACAAAATGTCATATTCTATTCATATAATACACGCATGACGCATATACATATATATATATATTGGACATATCGTATCGATTGTTTGCTTGATGGGGATTTGAACGTCTGATGGACGTCCCAGACACCGCGGCTCCGGTTTTGATCTCGTTGATCTTTGCCTTCACATTCCTTAGGCCGTTGCGAGGGCCACAGAGACTCAATGACAATTGAATTTGGTACCGCCGACCCCAAAATCCGATAATTTCCTACTGATATTTCCTCTTAAATGACCATTGTTAATTTTCTTTTTATGGCATTTTACGGCCCCCTTTATAGCATTGTGCCAAGCATCGTGGGTTGCGTCACCAGCGACCCAGGATGCTTTAAGACCTGGAAGGAAGCGAAGCTTAGTCATAACTTACATAACCTCCAGTGCAATAGAGCAATAGATATGGTATTGTTATGTTTCATTCCTGGGGTTACGAAATAATTCATTGAGCCCCTTGCAAACTCTAAAATTCTCTCCGCAGAAGAAACAACTCAAAAACTGATAAAACTGTTGAGCTCTGTCTGTTAAAGACCCACATTTTTTCCCAGTTTCAAATAACTGACTTTGTATTGTTCGAAGTTGGAAGAGGAAAAACCAGCCATACTGCACAATACCCGACTGCTGTCAGCATGGAATCATTTCATAAGCTTCTTATGCGACTAAAGTCCAAGGTGTTTACTCATTGCGGATGTTTCTACTCTTAAAGCGTCACGTTCTTCATCTTACGCTGAATCTTGCCTAATATGTGGACGAGCAACCACCTTAAGCCAAAGCACTTGAGCGGCCCTCCCGTTTCCACCGGTTCCACCGGTTCCACCGCAGCCCCAGGCAATTCTTGGGTACAGGCAATATTGTCTAAAGCATCTTCCCGACCCGTTACCTGGAGCCGTGTCTTTCAACACATTGTCTAAGCTGAGGTTTTTGTGCCCTCGTCCATCATTTTTTCAGAGGATTTGATGGAGGTTAATCTTTCCAGAAGAAATACCAAAGTTGGTTTAAGGAGTGCACCTGTCCTGAATTCTGCCCACCTTGACCATGGCTTTCCAGGTGCGACGTACAAAGTCGGGATCCACAAACATCGGCGTGGAATCCTGAAATGACGACATGCCAACGTGCCATAAACCTCACTGAGTTGAGGAAACACACCTCCGATATTCAGAGAAGGAGCTCTGTCCACGATCTGAAGTGCGGTGGCTGAATCAATCTGACGGCGCGCGCGAAGACCAGCACACTTTAGTCTCGCTAGCAGTCATACAGCGAAAGTCAATTGCATGGTGATGGAGAGGAGATAAAGGCACAAGCGTCCTTCTCACCATAGCGACCCCGAAAAAAGTAGAAAAGGTTCAAACTCCTATGAACCTTTATTGGTGACTTGAAGCTTTCTGCATTTTTGGGGTTCAAGATTCTTTGATCAATTGCTTTAGACAGTGTTGTATCAACTCACCAATGGTCCAGCCTCCATACTCTCCATCAATCGCCGGAAGCGATATTTCACATCTGCCTGCCCCAATCGACCCTGTCATCCCCTTGCGTTCCAGGTTGCTTCAGATTGCTTCAGGCTGGGGTTCCCACTTCTTGGAGTCCATGATGCTCAATTTAAAGTGAGCATTTCACCACGTGTTTTAATACACCAATGCATCACATTTTTGCTGGGCACTCTGTCGGGGAATAGCTCTTCCATGACATCATCAACTCGGGCCTCTCTGCAAGGGGTTGTCATGTAGATCTGCGCCAGCCAGCACAGAGTTCAGCAGGGAGAAGTTGAAGGATTTTCTAAAGTTATACCGCAGTTATACCGTATACCCCTGGTGAACTGAAACACCTAGGATTTGTAGATCTCGCCAAAATATGGCATTTCAATGCTCATGTTGATCCATCCCCGTATGGCACCGCACGACCTCCTGGACCAAACCTTGAAAAATCGCAGAAACCTGAGAAAATGTTCGTCTTTACATGGCTAATCTCAAATACCCTGCACAACAAATTGATTTTTTGGCTAGGCATCACGCATTTTCGGAAGAAGTCTTCCAACCCCACATGGCAGGCCTCCTTCTCAGCAGCTTTTGGGAACTGCGCCTGGTTTTTTCAGGGAATCCGGATGGAGAACCCTGGAAAAGCCACCCTTTCTTGACTGACCCTCCTAGAAACACCGGTGATTTACTTGCACTTTCCACGAAAAAGACATTCATAGCATTGGTTCAAGGGAAGATTGATAAAGTAAAACTTGCATGGTAAAGCCCATGGGTTTGATTGAAACGCTCCTTCTGATTCAGTAATGATAATATTGTCAGAATTCCCAATTAACCAATGAAAACCAATGGATGTACATTCCCCAGAGTCGCAACCAAGATCCCTATGATACCGGAGGAAACTGGTGTGTGTGTGTGTGTGCCGTCAAAACATGGTGGGGTTTCCTCCATCCAATGGGAATCCTGGAAAAATGGTGGGCCAATTTACACAAGTTTTGACGGAATACAGCGCGCACGAAGTCGCAGCACCAACGCCCCTTCCCGGTTAAGGGGGTTACGAGGTGCAAGGAGGCGGGTAAACCGAGAATGGAAAGCACGCAGCTAACTACAATGTACTGGCAGTATGCCAGGGAAATGTCACGCTAAGAATAGCAGTTGACAAACCACGTCGCGCGGCCGTCCCTTGCCGAGTGAAAAGCCAATGGCATACAGAAACAGCAATGTTGTCAGAGCTGCTTCGAAAATGACAGATCTTAGAAGGCTGTACAGAAACAAGCTCAAGCACAAAGGCAAGCAAGAGAGTTTTGGCAAACAAGTACAAGCAAGCATCAACTGCAAGCAAATCAAGACAAGGAAAAACCTGTCACAAAGTGCAGGCACCTAACTGTTGGTAGACTCAGGGTGTTCCGCCCTCCGGCTTTTTGTGCTTTTTGTATTGTGCGGTCACGACTTCCTACTCAATGACAAGCTCGGGTGGCAAGCTATCAACATCATCGAAGTCAGACCACTGACAAGCCGGAACCTACAAGTGATGCACAAGAGTGCGCTGGCAGGCTAGAACACACTTATGGCTCAAGTCCGGGGCAAAGGCTGAAGTCACCGGCAAATCAGGACATTGCAGAAAGCGAGTGACATGAGCCCATACATAATATCCCCCGCAAAGCAATCCAACGACACACACCATGCCATAAGGGTTTGGGTTCCTGCATTCAGGTGTTGGCATCACACCTCCACCATCTGTCATGATTTCAAGATGTTTGGCCAGGCCAAAGGCATGCGAGCAAACAACGGACGTCAATCTACTCCATGGTTCAAGTGTCATCTTCAAGAACCGTCTGTGATGGCATGTGGACGCGACCTGACTTCAGTCCCATGCCACGGAACTGACTTTTTTCCACCGAAACATGAGAAGTATCCACAAGACCGGACAACAGAACCTCTAAAGATCCAATAGCAACCACCCGAAGGCCAATCAAAGTCAAAACACAAGTCACTCGATAGTGGCAGGGGCACACCGAAAGCAATGGGGTCACATACTCGAGGATCAGCAGAGGAGGAACGTGGGAAAACTGCATGGCTCAGTTAGAAAGGGGCCACCTCCCCACTTCGCTACGTGGAAGCCTGAGCCCAGAGGCTACACAAGTTTTGACCATCATATCAAGATGCGAAGGTGATGTGTTGTTTCCTACGTTGATTTGTCCGAAAATAGGTTGCCTCTGGAAATTCGAAAATCCACTATGGAAATATCCACCACTAGATTATCTTTTTTTCCATGAAAACATAGGGAACCCCCCCGCGAGCCATGGTTGATCCCGCCTGGAAGATTTTCCAAGCCTCAGCGACTGCTTCTTCATCGTCCAGCTCTGATTCCTCAAAGGAAACTCCACAGGGAAGACCAGAATTGATGTGTTTCACCAGATTCATGCGGGAACATCCGGAATACTCAAATACTTGATATTGAAATGGTGCTTCCATGTGTTTCCTGCATTTTCTCCGTAAACCAATTGAGCGTGTCGCTTCGCAGGTCCACATATCCTTTTCATTGCTTTTATCTTCTGTTGCATCTGTTGGGGTCCGATTGGGATCCGCTCCTGCATTGGAATCTGTTCTTTTGGGAATTTCATAGATTGCAATTTATATCAATTTATCAGATGAAACTTTTGTGCTGATTAAATTTGACCTATGTGAATCTTCTAAGAACTTCTAGGATCTCGTCCATTGGTGAATTTTCATCACAAATCGAAAGCTGCTCAGCGTCCTTCGCCTGCTCCGCATCTGCAAGCTTCATCTGCTCCTGCGCCACAGATCTACCAAGCACGCCCACCGGCACCCCCAGCCACTGGCAGTCCTTCTCGATGATGTTCCTTGGGAGAAAGGAAAGATCTTCGGAATGTTCCCCCATCAGAACAGCAGGTGTTCACATATTCGAATGGTGTTTGGATGTGTCGCACGGCGCTCGGCTATCCCGTGAAGGTGTAAGAAAGAAGCAGGGATTCACATTTCGTCACATTTCGATCTAATAGAGGACCCTTGAATGTTGGGGTATCCTTATCCTCGCTATCAAACCATGCTTTGTGACTTTGAAGTGGCCATTGCAGAGTAGGGTAATTCCAATTTTCTTGTCATTTTTGTCTGAAAACAGGGTGTACCCAAGATGGCAATGTTTATAGGAAAAAGACGGGAAAATGATGATTGACCATGAAATTTGGGTTTCTTCCTTGAATTCTCGGACAAGGCCATATTTCTATCCTTGGTCTGTGCCATATAAAACTCCTTCCATGGCCATGGCCTTTGTGCAACCGAGTTACTGCACTGACCTTAGTGATCACTGCAGAAAAATCAGAAAAGTCAGATTCGCTTCATGTCGTCATTTCTCTGAGTCATCTGTTTATTCAGAAAACTCTTCGTTTGAAAGATCTTGAAAATCCATGATCTCCAGTGATCTCCAGTGTGCAAAAATACATGGCATTGTTCGATTAAGCCATTAAAGATTCCCCTATCTCATCCTATACTGGTTGGTTAATAATTATATAATAATGTTAATAGGTATCCCCATTGTGGGTCATGAGTATCCCCCCATAAACCAGGTCGTATAACCCCCTACAACGAACAGGTGTTTTAAACACTGCTGAATTGGCTGACCATCTTCAACGACAAGCGTCTGCAGCAGCTGCGGATCAATGGTTTGACGCCATTTGACAACCTCGTCGTCCTCCTCGACGGCAGCGGCCAGAGCAACGCATTTGTGTTTCTGGTGGACTTTGAAGGACTTCTGAAATATTGGACTTGAGTATTGTTTGTTAGACTTGTAGACTTGCAACGTCTACAAGTCTACAATCAATTGATATTGTCCTCCAGACATTAGACATTTCGCTTGTGTCTCCTTGAGCAGTTGGAGCTTCTTGTAAAGCCTGGCCCAAAATTCACGGTTTGACCATGATCCCCATGATTTGATGATTTTGATGGCAATCTTCGCAATCTTCGCAATCTTCGCCATGGCAATTTTCCAGATTTTTCCAAACTTTTCCAGCCTCTTCGGCGAGTCCCCATTCTCTGGCTGAGAAGACTCGATTGGCCGATCCGCATCTGGCGCAAAAACGGGCATTGCTTCCCTTCAGAAAGACATTGAAAGTCCGAGAAAATGCGATCAAATGTGTTGTTTGCGGAGAAAGTGGGGCATGTCTGCAAGAATGAGCTTTCGAAAGAGTAACCTGAAGTGCATCTGAACAGGCGAATGTCTTCCAGGACTCCGCAGAACACTGGCCTTGTCGTGCAGCAAGGACGCTGTTCAGCATTTTCTGTCGGCCGTGGAGGCAGGACTTGGGCCGTGGGAACAACTGGATTCAGCCTCCAGCTGCATGGGAAATGCAGCCATATCCTGTATTACATCTGGCAAGATATAGCAAGATTCTAGTACACCATCATGATGCCACCATATGGAGGTTTCCCAAAGCAGGGTACCCCAAGCTCGCTGGATGGTTTATTTCATGGAAAAAAACAAAAAAATGATGATTTGGAGATCCTATGACTTAGGAAACCTCCACCAAAAACGCAGCGGTTTCTGCATCCCTCAGGACTTCCACGATTCGGAGCGGCCTTTTGCTCACTGTCCAGTTGCTTCATGACCTAAAATCACAGGGAGAACCTACAATCACATTCTGTTCAGAATCAACATATCTATTGCAACAGTATTGTAACATAGATTAAAGTAATATTATAGATTATAGTAATATTTCTACAATTGTGAATATCTTCGTAATATTTCGTTTTTTGTGTGTTCCTGTCAGAAAAAACCGTGCCTCTTCGATCTCGCTCTGCTCGTCTGCCTTCAGTGCGGTCAGCTTCCGATAGACCTGGACGCACGCCACTTGTGTTGAACAGCAACAGCAAAAACTCATCTGAATTGAAACATCATGGATAACTTCAGCACTGGATAAGTGCACTGGAAAGGACAAAGTATACGTGCCGTCACTGTCCTGATTTGAGCTATCTGTGTATGTAGATATCCATATATTTGCATGAAATTGCATGTCTACATATGTTTTTACAAATGGTGAAACATCATATGGCCCAAGTATCACGGCCGTGAAGTTTTGACAGAACAATCTCTGCACATTTCTGGCCCATCTTGGCCGATGCACCTGTATCACCTTTCGGCCCTTTGGCGACACATCCTGCACGCACTCTCGGACGAAATTCATGCGAGAAAAAAAATCACATTCGAATGCATGTTTGAATGGAAACACAATTCACTACTTGAAAAACAAGGATATCTCTGAATTTTCATTCTGACAAGAAGGTTTACTTTGACAGCCCTGACTGCAAATCTGCTCTTGCCTGAATCCAAAAATCCGCCAAGGAGTCATCATCTTCATCTGAATCTGCCGCTCTGCCTTTGTAGCCCAAGTTGCAGGAAAATATATCATAGTTTTGTCTGAAAATCCAGGAAAAACTTCAAATTGTTCATGGTTAAAGTTTAAATTATCATGTCTATCATTGTCCCTCTTAAAATTACCATTTGGGGGTACTGTCTACCCTGTTGGATAAACCCATCTGGAGAACCTCGCTGCAACGCTCTGAGGATCCGCACGTAAAGTACGATATCTGTCGAGGCCTTACCGTCTCAGTCGTTTCAAGACCCCTCGTATGTCCCAGTGGCTGGTGGTATGTAAAATCCAAATGCAGTCATATATGGGATATCCCTAATGATATGTACATTACATCATAGATTCATAAATGGTATGTATACACACATACTATATGTACTGTACATTTATGGAAATTGTGGAGATAGATAGCTAGATAGCTAGATTATGGGTTGCTATCCAAATGGGTTGCACATTCTGTCAGGTCTGCAAAATTGGCAAGAAATCTTGTTGTTATTGATTGCCTCCTATTTGTAGAAACACCCAAAATCAGCTTTGCAAATATCACAGTTAAAAATCACTCAGATTAGTAATGATTAGAAGTATCAGCATGGGCAAACGTTTCTGCAACAGTTCCAAATCATCCACAGGTGCAACAGTTTCAAATGACATCCGATGACATCCGAGGTGCGATAGCCAGGCCGTGAGGGACCCACGAAGCACTGGACGAACTGAACGAAGCCGAGCCCCGCAACAGCCCAGAGGGCGAGGCCAGCGAGGCCAGCGAGGCCGGCGCTCTGCCCAAGAGGCCTGGCAGGGATTCCCAGTGGATCCAGTTGGATCATAAGAATTTCCAGTTGGATAATCCCTATATAGCCTATGATCATAATTATATTATAATATTATAATGTATAACTGTATAACATTGGAGTACACTATATGGATATGTTTAACACAGAAATGATGTTTACTATAGGCCTTCTGAACACGTTTTTTTACGTTCAACATGTAGTTTATGTAGTTTATGTAGTTGTTAGTTTCTGCCAGGCGTCCTTTCACGCATTTTGTTGCCCAAGAAATTGACAAGAAAATAGAGGACATGTGTGCGTTTAAACAGCCATTGTCTTTGAGTTTCCAAAAAAGAAGTGGCTTTTACGGAGATAGCATTCCACCATTCAATACGAAATTTGGCATGGACATCAAAGCATAAATGGGTCTGGTGGATAATCCAAAATCATTCAAAAAAACAACACTGTTGTAATGGGAAATATGATACATCATGATAATAAACCCTGAAAAAAATATTGGAGGTCTGCCCATTTTTGAGACAATCCCAAACCCAGGTTCTCAAGCCTTTGGGTAGCCACGGCACGCGCCATGGTGGCTTGTGAGCCCAACGCTGCGGGTTTCTCAATTTAAAAAAACGTTGGGTCATCATGTCTTTCCTTAATAGAAAAGGGTTCAGAATAGTTTTTGGATTTTTTTTTGGCTCGGGTTTTGGATTTTTTTTGGCGTCTTTCCTCGTACCATTTGCCTTGTATTTGCAACAGTTTGGAACTAGAATCTGTCATTTTTGCATGGTATTTGCTACATTTGGCATGGTTACTTTGCATTTTGCACGGTATTTGCTACATTTTGGCAACATTTGGCCATGTTTGCCTTCCATTTTTCATCGTATTTGCCACGTTTTGGCACTTCAACCTCTCATTTGCATGGTATTTGCTACATTCTGGTACTTCAAACGTTCATGTGGGTTTCTAGAGAGTTTCTTTAGGGTTAATTTATGGTTTCTTTAGGGTTCATTTAGGGTTTCATGTAGGGGTTTCTTATCAGGAGTTCTTATCAGGATTTTTTACGGTTTCTTTGGGTTCACCCAGGGTCTTTAGGGTTTCATTTAGGAGACAGGAGAGAATAAAGCAAAAGAAAAGAAAAAACAAAGAGGCAGTAAAGACAGGAAGCAGAGAAGCAGAGCAGGAAGTAGAGCAGCAAAAACACATGACTGAAGAAAAGAAAAAGTATAGTAGAAGTAGAAAGGCACAGAAGCACGAAAGCAACAAAGCAGAGAAGCAGAAAAGCAGGGAAAGCAGAGAAGCAGAAAAGAAAAGAAGCAGGTAAAGCAGAGAAGCAGAGAAGCATGAAAAGCAGAGAAGCAGGAAAAGCAAAAAGCAGGAAAGACAAAAAGCAGAAAAGCAGAGAAGCAGAAAAGCAGAGAAGCAGAAAAGTAGAACAGCAGAAAAGCAGAGAAGCAGGAAAGCATAGAACCAGGAACCCCAAAAAAAAAACCTGCCGCAAAAAAAATAGCCCTCCATTTTAAAAAAAAAACATTTTGGGGTTCGCGTGTACTTTCTTTTCTGAGAATGCGAATGAACTACACATACATACAATCATGAACATTGCACACCGAGTATCAAAGGGTGAAAAGGGCTCGCTTTTCTTGGGTTTCTTCATCCAAAATACAACAGACCTGCTACCATATCGTCACAGCGGCATCTTTCAGAAAGCGGCTTCATGTCGGCCGCAACATGCCGGACATTGGCTGCTGAATCAAGATTCACATCAGTCATGAGCTATCGATTGACCAAGTGACATCACACTGAAATCAACTTCATATGAACACAGGCCGACCCACGATGGCTCATGTACTCCCGACAGTCGGCACATCTTTTCCATCTTCGCATGATCTCACCTTGGCGGGATTTCCAGTCTACCTCAGCTCGATGCAAACAGAGCAAGCCTTTGTGCATTGGGTGCTTCAAGTATTTTGATACCCTTGACTCAATATGGGAGGTTTCCAAAATATTATCCTAAAATGGGGGTACCCCTAAATCATCCATTTTTGTTAGGGGATTTTCCCTTCTAAACCAGCGAGCTTGGGATACCTTGATGACTATGGAAACCCCCAATGGCTGGACCAAGAAGTGCCTGGAAGATGCCTATGACCTGGGCGGCCTCCAAAATTCAATCGATACGGAGGCCATGCGTCACCATAGTGTGGGTATGTGTGAGTCAAGTCTTGGAAAGTGATTTTGAACTCAGAAAAACCTTCTGGTCAAAATCTGGCAAGCTGTCAAATCAGAATTTTGTGTATATATTGGATTGGGGTAACAAAAACTCACCCTGTGCTGGGGTCACCGCAAGCAATCATTTTGCGTTTCTTGCCTGCACATTTGGTGTGCTGTATTATGGCATATATTGCGACAGCGAAAACCACCTTACATGGCAAACTCAGTCATGAAAGGTCTCTTGCAAATGCAGTTATCAGTTATATATGACTTTCAGATCAAGAGCGACTGTTTTCTGCCAACATCCTGACTCACCACTCCCGTAGCGCATAACTATTCAACACCACCAACACAATTTATGTTGGAAACTCCAGCCTCAACACCCAAGGGAGCCAATGTCGCAAACACTTAGGCATAGGTGGCACCAGCTGCATTCCAGACGATACCAGGCAGATTTACAGTTATGCCTGGGACGTTGTCACCAGGCATCATAACACCGATCTCGTTGAGGTCGATCTTGGTGTGAGGAAAAGGATGAGGCATCGCGGGCTGTGATCGCTGTGTCCTTGAAGTCCTTCATCCAAGCATAAAAGCCACCAAAGGCCGAATAGGTGGACGGCTGCCGCCGGCATAGTGGTGAATTGAGACATAATCGATCGGCGGAACTGAAGGACCATGCTTGCTGCAATTGAGGAAAGGGGGAAGCCACTCAGCACCCCCAACACTGCTGTAGGCAGCGCCTCCAATTCCCATGAAAGCTGGCGCGCAATCTGGACCACCAACTGCCTCGATCATCTCTGATACGACGACGTCAAAATCATGGATGTACCTCCACGTCATTGGGTTTTCTAGAGAAATTAGGTTTGCAGGAATGTCCTTCAAAACCCACAGAGAAATCAAGGAATAAAAAGTGTAAAAAAATGATCCTGCCAGGACACTGGTCGACAGTGTAACTATGTTCTGCCTCGTTGAACAACTCCCAAACATGACCGTTCTTGCGGTTGAAGCGAGAATATGCCGGACCTCCAGTGTGTTTGACGCCGTCCTCATCAACGAACTCTCCCTTCACAATATAGGAGAGAAGTCGTCCAAAGTAAGAAACCAAAGTTTTTCCGCTGGGATCCAGCAAGTTTTTCCTATTACCACGCACGTAGCGGAAGAACGGCTCATCTGGGTTTTCAGGTAGGAGCAGTTCTGCGTCTTGTTCTCTGCATCGCCAAAAAGCCAGCAGGGCTGAGTGGCAAAATTGAGAACCAGGGTGCGATTTTGTCCATAGACAGCATCCATGAAGTCCTCCAACTGCGGTAAAATGTGGGAGAAGTCCTGAAGTCCCAGGTCGTCTTCGATTTCGTCGGAGCATCCAGCTCTGCGACGCTTTTCTTTGGATCGCGAAACTTCGGTACAAAGCGGACCAGGTCTGCCTGCAACGCCTTCAAAGATGCCCATGCGTTGTCGTGGATGGGATTGGGGAAGCTCGTGCCGTTGGGCGCCACAAAATGTGCGGTCCAAAGATGGGGTTGCTGACCACCTGACAGTTTCAAGGCAAAGTTTCCAGGAGGAAAACCTCAGATAAAGAAAAGAAAGGGGGATGGCTTAGAGAAGGTTGGCATGATACAGCCACATCCTGCCCAGTTGCCCCGCGCAAAGAAGCGACACAGAGGGACTGAAACTCTCCTTTCTTGAGTCACCCTTCTCCCCGCTCCTGGTCCACTGGTTTTGATGGTCTTATCTCTTGAACTACTTAGAAGCCATCGCTTTTCCTCACCGGTCGAAACCAAACTTTCTTTTAAGGCGTAATTCAGTCGAGCTATCACTGATCTCTTCTGTTGGATGACATCAATGAATATCATAGATGGAGCTATGTTTGCCCTTCCCCTTGACCTGCACTCCTGCTCTTTTCTGAGCCGATCCTCTACCAATTCTCCTGAGCCTTACCCCTCCCAATCTGATAGTTTTTCCCGCGTCAATGTGCGGCGGACAAAGCAAAGCCCAAGCTGCAAGTTCACTTTCGAAACTGCAACACTTTTCCAAAGGATGTTTAGAAGGCACAAAACAAATTACATGCGCAGGCTATGACAATTGGGATCGCCCTTGGGATGGCTATCAACCAACAAGGCCAAAACAGAACGGTTGGAGCAATGCTGTCTTTCAAAACGACACAAGCATACTCTCTGCGCCAACAGAAACCTTCTGGTGCAGAGAGTAAAAGGAAGTGAGAGGATGTGAGAGAATGTTTAGTGAATGCACGTGTCCGAGACTCCGAGGTTCAGGCTTAAATTTCCGCTATTAAGGTCCTAGGTCCTTTATGTGTTCTGACTAGAAGTTGAAATTGTAGGAACGATAGAGGTTGGGGCACACATTGCAAGGATCCATCTCTGGCCTGCCAGATCGTCACCGTGCAGGACGTCCGAATCACCTTGGAGAAGTCCACTGTTACGGCGAGGCCGCAGAAGTGATAGGCAGAAGGCAAATCTGCTGTAGAGTTCACGCACACTTTGGCATACCCTCTTGGGAGAAACTCCTGACGAACAATGAAAACGTCTAGCAAGTCGCAAAAAGACTGGATGATTTCTGCAATAGAACATGCCCTTCAATTGGGAGACCCGTGGCCCAATGATTGAATTCATCCCTATCTGCATACTATATGGCTTTGTCCGAAAATATGACACCCAAAATTTCAGTGGTGAACTGTCATGATGTCCATTTGTTTGATGGCCATGCATTGGGGCATCCCCTATTTCTGAACAGAAAAAGGCCAATCCGTTTCGTGCAGAACAGGCCTCAAGCATCCTCAACCACAACAATCCTCCAGCTGCGCCTCAGCAAAGTCTTTGACGTTGAAAATACGTCCCACCGTAAGGATCCCGATCATACCCTGGTACGTCCATAGGCTCGGTACGTCGAACGGATGCATATATGCATTCGGATGATGGGTCACGATTATTAGCATGCCCGGGAGAAGAGTAATAATGGCTTCGGAACTCAATGACCAGGGGCCAGGATGGGTCATAGATTAATGCTACCAGAATGGCAACTTCATTGACAGAAACTGCAAGCAACACTACACCCATGTCTAAACGACCCCAACCGACGCTAACCGACGCCAACCGACGCTGACGCTAACCGATGCTAACCGACACTGACGCTTACCGATGTTTTTTAACCGACGCCAACCGACGCTAACCGAAGTTAAACGACGCCAGCCGACACTGACACTAACCGATGCTTTATAACCGACGCTAACCGACGCCAACCGACGCCAACCGACGCTAACCGACGCCAACTGACGCTGATGCTAACCGACGCTAACCGGCGCTAACCGGCAGAATGTTTTGAATGATACGGGAATTAGCGGTTAAAACATTGAACCACATACGAGCTGTTGGAAGTTACACAAAAATCTTTAATTGATTCCCACTGGACAACTTTCTGTGACCAATAGCATGCGACATTGTTGGCCGGGCGTGTAACGCATTTACAGCACATTCCATCAACCATCCATGTTGTTTTGCTCCATGTTCCACAAGGCGCCTCCTTGCATCTCATGCTGAACCATGGTTTCGGCGTTATGGACTCACCATCGATATGTTCGACCCCTGCTGACCTGTCGGATCGATAGAGCCCACAGCCCCAGAGAGGTCACGGACCTTTCTGGGCAAGGGTGAAACTCATGGTATGTGATGGGCAAGGGTCAGGGGGCTCTAGTGACATACCCTGGATCCTTAGGGCCACTTAAGGCAAGAAACTTTCCACGGCTTTAGTTCGGCTGCCATGTACATATTGAAGTTCCTGCAGGTTTAAACAGCGGCAACAACCTTGATTGAATTCTTGGTTCGGTGAGATCAAACCTTCAACTGCAAAAACGTATGGGAAATCCGAAAGATCCAGGGCAACAGCATGCAACAGCCTTCTCTAATATGCTTCAACCAGGCCGTCCAGAGCCATCAGCTCTTGAATCACCAGACCACCGTCCTCTTGAAATTCAACACTTTCACACTAGCAATGGAGAAGCCGCAGGCTGTGAACATGTAGAACATATTGTTCCACTATTTTTCCAACATCTAAATTATTCTAAATATATTTAAACAATCTCCCAAAACAACTGTAAATTTCTTCGCTGCGAAGGCATTGCAGTTGGCATTTCCAGTTTCGCTTTGGGGCCCTGGCATCCAACGCCTTTTGGCTCGAAGTCGCCACACGGCGGGGCACAAACCATGGAAAAGTCGAAATCTCGGAAAATCCTTGGGAACATGTGGAACAGCCACAAGGAAATAGAACATATCCTTTGATGCATCCTGCATGGAGGATGTCTGGGTGTCGGGGTGTCTCGCAACACACCCTCCGGCTGGTGAGCGGATCCTGGACCCTTCTGGAGCCCCAGACTTTTGTTGCAGTCCGACTTGGGCACATAGAGAACCAGTAAAGGTCTGAAGCATTGAGAGATGCAATGTTGAAATCAGTTGAGATCAGTTGAGAGTTGAGAGTATTGTATCAAGGTGAAAAAGCCGAAGCCGGTCAGGTAGAAAAGCATGAAGCAATATGACCACAGCTGTACCGTTTCAATTGCGGTGATAAATGACATTACGATACATCAGTCGGGGCTGTATAGCTAAACATGACTCAAGATGCATCCTATGCTGAACCAACTTAGCCTAGCTAAAAAACAACCCCGAAACAAGCGCCAACTCAAGCCCACGAAGTGCCTAAAAGCAGCCGCAGCTGCAATTGAAGCATCCCTCGCACCACTTGGAGCATGCTTCGCATCAACTGTTGACCGGCAGCAAGGATCATGAGCAAATCGCAATGTCTGAATGAAATTGTTGGTACATGTTGGTCCACGCTTGAATTTTCACGCCTCATCCGCGATGTCAGCGCAAGTTTGTCTGACATACGCCTTCGCACATCGCACCTGCAGAACGGAAGACGTGAAAGAGTCAACATCGCAGCACAGAAATGGCATCCAACCTGCCTGCAAAGTCAGTTCCGGCCACATGGCAGGCAGCCTCCAAAGAGGAGGCGGTCCCTCTCCGTCATGTTGACAAAACACTGAAGCAAAAGTTTCACTTTTGGCAGGGAGGACGACTTCATACTGAGCCGGAGATTGATGCGCTCCATTTCTTGCAGCATATTTTGTTGGATGCAAATGCTTTGTTCTGCCGTGGCTGTGGAGCAAATGGTGCCGCGTCCACTGCTCTTCATTTTTTTTGAGCCACACTGCGGGTGGGTGGCGCTCACCATGGCCATTGCAGGCAACAACACCAATAGCAAACCCACGTTCCCGGCCCAGACGTGCAATTTGTCCACCGTGGAAAAACACACATAAACGGATGAAGGGCAGGAACGGGCTGTGCCTCAATTTCACGTTTGACCTGCGGTGTCCTGAGCCGTCTAGAATCCAGAGGGCGGCTGCTAAACTCAAAACGCAAAAGACTTCGAGGCTTAGACGTGCAGCAAAACATCTCTTTGCAGAATTGGTCCTAGCAAGGGACACCATAGAAGACACAAAACATGGCGTCATGTAGAATCATTCCAAGTCCCGCGGAGGCTTTCACATTCTAGCCTTCACATATCAACAACTCCACCAGAATTGACATTGTGCTTGAGCATGGGGTAGCGCTCCCAGGGTGAGAAGGCAGATCCTTCCAAAAGTCTGCTGCAGCTCCAGGTGTTAGCGTTTCACATGCGCTGGCTTCGTCGTCCTGGGCCCCCTAAAAATGAAACTGGTGCTCAGCTACAGGGCCTAACAGCAACCAATATAAGCGTGCTCCTTCTTTGCCGCGGGTGCCGCTGGCGACGCCGCCGGCGTTGCCAGCAGCTGCGGCAGTGCCTGAGCAGCAAGAAGTCCCGGGTGATGGGACAGGGCCAGAAAGGAAAAAACAATAAGAAAAAAGGGGAGAAAAAAAGAAGAACAACTCACGCGTTAGCAACGCGCCAGCAACAACGCGCCAACAACAACGCACCGACAACCACGCGCCAACAACAACAGCAGCAGCAGCAACAACGACAACAACAGCAGCAGCAGCAGCAACAACAACAACGACGACGACAACAACAACAACAACAACGCAAGGCGCACTAGCGCATGCGAACCTTCATGCCCTTCTCCCCAAAGACCTGCCAAAAAGAAATACGACCGGAGGTCACTACTGTTTGTCTGGTATATGTGTCTCCTCCTCGTCCACGGTCATCACTTTTTTCATCCTGCCAAAATGAAAAAGGAGGTGTGCGAAAAGGCTGGCAGCGGTAAAGAAAGACGCACCCAGCAGGCAGCAAGAGTAAAGCACGGATCAAAGTAGTTTTATGCTTGAGCCAAAGCACGACTGTCGTGCACAAGGGTGAGGAAAGAAAGTGGCTGAAAAATTGGTTTCGCCCTTTCACCGACAATCATACTCTTGGATAGGGGAAACCCTTGCATCCTGACGTCACTGTCCACATCCACAAAAACT